GGAACTGATAACAGCCCACAAGTCTATAAAGCCATTAATCACCGTAGGCATGAACAAAAAAGGTTCAACTAAATATTCTTTTACCAAAGTTGAACTCTATCAATCAAATGCAACCTTGCAACCAATTCAATACAATGTATGACCTGTAGCCAATGGTGGCAGTTCAACTTAGTTGATGCTTGTGTAACATTACTGACTTTATGACTGTTTTCTACTTATGTTGTTGCGTTCACTATTATCTTGTAATTAGCCACAGAGGTCACTGCTGGGCAAAAGTTACAAAAATTACTTTAATGACAAATTACGACAAAACATTTACGTTTTTACACATACTTGGATCTGAAAATCTTTATTTATTTTTTTAAATCTTCTCACACAACCTTTGTTTGACAAAATATGTCTGCACACATGAGAATGCCGAGCCATTAGGTGGCAATAAAGTAAATCAACAATACATCAAATACCAGAAAACATTATTATGATTATTTTCCTTTGGTGGTGGTGGTGACTAAAACACAAATAATAGTAGCTCATTATTTATTTTCCGTTATTTGGCAACTATTTCTTCACCTTATTGCACTCCCTTCTGGCAGATGGCCTAGCAGTGCCAACCAAATGTAAATAAACTGGTAGTCAGCCATTGTTTTTTTTTCCAGGCACATGCTCTTTACACAAAGGAACAATGTACAAATTGAGGTTTCCTAAACACTTTGTTTTTCCATGTCCACAAAAACCAGAGTTTAGAAAAATCTACTGCTAAGAAGGGTTTTATTATTTTTGGGGGGATTTAGCGGACAAGAGGCCAAAATGTAGAGGAAATTATTCATATTCAGAAACACCTGTGTACGTATGGACTAGACCTTCAAAATCACTTTTTAAATTGAAGAGTAATTTGAGATTTTGGACACTAATGAATCATCATTATCCATCACTGACTCTACAAAATGGACATTACACTGCGGGAACGTACAGTTAAAGCTGATTCACTGTCAGTAACACAGATGTTTTCACTCGGTCTGGCTGATTGGTTGAAGGTGACCAGCTCTATAATAGGAAATGCACAAGGTCAACAAACTCCATATACTAATGAGGATGACGAAGGTGTAATTTGTCCCTAACAACAAAGCTAACAGGGGAGTCAATAAGACGTCTGTACACCTCCACTCAGTCCTGAGAGGAAGTAAAGAGCTCTAATCAGTCAAAATATCACCTGTGTAGGTTTATAATGGATGTACCTTTTCACTGCAAATGATTGGAGACATTTAATGATAGCAGCCACTCTGGGACACATTGAGTCTGGATTCAAATATCCTTGTTGGGTCTGTAAATCATTTCTAGACCTGCTCTATTTGAGAAGTGTCCTTACCCTACTATTTCATGTCAAAATGGCTGCTGTGAAAAAGGTCTATAGAGTAGTGATTTTTTTTAAATGACTCACAGTGATGTACCAGGTGCATTTACTGTTGGGTTTGTAGTGACTGGGGAATCCTTCACTGGCCACGATGCCCGAGTCTGTGACCAGGTGGCCTCCACAGTGGAAGACGGGCCTGAAAGAGAATCACACAACCGCCATCAGCTGCAGTTGCAGCAACATTTAACTTGAAGAAAACGCAGTTATACTGAGAGTATTTAAGCAGAACTCCTCACAAACACACACACACTTTTACATACACACTGAAAACCACAGCGGCACAGTCTTTCTCTGTTCTCCGAGTCCGGGGAGGTTCCCAATGAACTCTCCTGGTTTGTTTTTTTTTCATAAAACTTGGTCAAACCAAGCCAGGAAGACCGTCGATATTACAGTATATGTGCTGTGAGACTGTACCACAAGAAAGTTGTCAGTAGACGTAACACATACTTTTAGCCAGACGGGCACCTTCAAACGCTGCAACCCGGCTCACACATGGAGTTTGGTGACACACGCCCACTCTTTCACACTCAGATAAACACAGATCAAAGCAGGGCCAGCCTCCAATCTTAATTTCGCAGCACTCGCCGAAGGGCCCCAGACTCGTTAATTTAGACGTTGGTTGCGCTGGCATCTGGTCAGTTTGTTTCCTCTTTCAAAACTTGCTTCTGTGGCTCAACTTTTGTGCTTGTTCTTTTTTGAAGGGAAAGGCCAAAATGAATACATTTTTTTTTACATCGTGAGGACTCTTACTGTGACCATCAACTCATTATAGTCCCTTTTTTGTCCTTCAGGCATGTGTTGTGTGTCTGCTGCAGTGCTAGAAGGCCACATTTGGCCAAAAAAAACCCCAGTGGTGGTGGAGTCCCTCCCTTCTGACCCTCTAGAGTCGAACAGCCCACAGGCATTTGCTTGTCTTGTGTTCAATTTACACCCTCTGTGTGTATGTGTGTAAGTAGCTATAGCAGTGCACACACAAGGTTCAATAAGCATCTAGAAAAATGAAATTCTCAGCATTTGTGGAGTGGAAAAATGTGGATTTAAGAAGGCAAATGTCTGAATTTAGTGCCAGTTTTGACAAAAACATCAGACGTGAAGACAAGCCACTATACACATGCCCAGTTGAATCACTACATCAATTTCAGCATGCTGTCATTTTCTGTGTTTATGGGACGCCAACCACATCTTCCTAACATCGCAACCTTCTATTTCTACTGCACTTTCCGTAATCATAATACTGTAACCAGGAGAGGAAAAAACACACATAGTAGTTAATCTAGATAGATGTGGGCTTGAAAAAGAGCATTGCCACATGTGCACATGCAGGATGTAGAGAGGAAAACAGATGCACAAGAGGGACATTGATAGCCGTATAGTTGACACACATACCTAAAGTCTAAAATCTCTCAAACACGCAAGCTCACCTCGTGTAGTTGGTCGGACTCTGAGCCTCGGTCCATCCCAGTGTCAGAGTGACAAGAAGACACACAGTCCACACCCTGTCCTCCATCCTGCTGTCTCTCAGAGGTTGGGAAAGACGGGAGAGGGAGAAGAAGAGGCAGGAGGAAGGAGGGACAACCAGAGTAGAGGCGTGGAGAGATGCAAGGTTCAAGAAGGGAGGGGTGGAGAGAGAGAGGGGGAGAGGAGGTGTTATGGAGAAGAAAAGAGGTGAATGAATGTGATCTTGAGAGGACAGAAGGTTGTTTGAGACAGGTTCAACATTAATTACACTGTACACTGAGCCACGGCCAAAAGCAATGTATATACAGTTCACAGTACAGTGTGCCCGTTATGTTCCAGCTCTGTGCTGTTGTTTAACAGGCAGAGTAATGGAGTATATGGAAAATGTATGTTTCTGCAGGTAGGTGTGTGTGTGTGTGTGTGTGTGTGTGTGTGTGTGTGTAATTCACTGCACCACCAGCTACAAGAAATGCATCTACGCATGGTGACATTTGGCACCACTCTGGTCTAAAAAGAAATATCCCAACAATCATAGGATGGTTGGACATTCTGTACAAACGTTCATGGTCCCCAGAGGATGAATCAGAGTTTTAGTGAGTTTGTGAGTGAGGCTGACTTTTTCCTTTAGCGCCACCAGCAGGTCAAAGTTTTCACTCATCCTGTGAAATATCTACATCTGCCAGGTGGATAGGCACAAATGTTTGTCTGGACATTCATGGTTCCCAAAGGAAGAACCTGCACCCCTGTGTGTTCAGGACTTCAGAAACATACAGAGACAAGAGGGGGGAGATACTGGAGGGAAATAACAAAGGACCAGACTTCTTGTTGAGTTCTGAGATCAGTCAGAGGCTGAACTGAACACAAACACTCCCACACACACACGCTCTGTACATCTGTTGCTAACATGCTTACGATGGCACACGGTTTGGGACAAACGGACACAAATGGTCCATTGGTAAAATTTGTGCAAATAATGTGAGGTGATCGTTTGCTTTGCTTTGACTAAACAAACCTACTGCAAAAACCTTCACTTTAGTTTCCTGTAATGCCACCATGAGGTACAAATGTTAACCTCATGTTCAAAGTTTGCGTAAAAAACAATTAGATGGACTGCCATGAAAGGCGGTCACTTAGTGATCTCTGATTGTTTCTTCTAGTGCCACCATCAGATTGGAAAGATTCACTTTGTTTCAAATCCCTAAAATGTTTAAGAAAAGGGAACACAGTAACATCTAAAATCATTAAGCCATTCGTTACATTAAATGAGGCATTAATATATGTATACTTACATATGCTTTAATTTGTTTTTCTTTCTTGTCTGTCTGGATTTAGGTGTTGTTGCTTGTTATAGCCAATAAGTTATTTCCCTCCCTCTACTTTCTATATATTTTGAGCTGTTTATTTTATTAAAAGTCAGCATTTTATAAACCAAATATCTTCCAGTTAGCCTCAGATGTGCTCTGTTTAGTGCTGATTAAACCACAGCACATTAGCATGCTGTCGTTACCTGTGCACACATGCACAATTTACCCTGCAAGGTTATTATGAGGATTAAATTCCTTTCCACAGAATTCATGGTGGTGGGAAAAATAAAGTAGCTGAAGGAGTTCAGTTTAAATGCAGTAATGCATGAAAAATACAGTAATTCAACCAAAACAGAATTTAAAATGGAAGACCTGAAATATTCTGAACACTACTGCAGTGGATTTTGTTTTTGCTGGGAAGTTGGGTTCAATACTCATGAGACTTTATAAAATATGCTTTCAAGCTAGTTCATTAACACAAGCTCTCTCACAAAAAATGACCAACGTACATTCCGATCATTGTCGTCATTGTTATAATCATAATGTGCAATGAAGTCAGCCTGGCAGTTTGTCTAATCGAGGGCATGCCTTTTGTCTTTTTTAAGCTGCGGTGACCACTCTGGGCAGAAACCACAGCTGAACAGAAGGAGACTGCGGTTCTGTAAAGAAAGTAGCTGCCCTGATCTGCTCTCTGCTTCCAGTTCATTCTGGACACTCATGTGTACGCAGGCCAACTGTTGCAAAACACCCGCTGACAAAAATAGACTGTAAAGAGATGTAATCATAAAACTAACTGCTGGAGGGAATAAAAGAAATCAGACTTTACGTTTAAGAGATTTTCATGTAGTTTTTATTGTCTTTTTTTGTACAAAGAATTTCACAAAAATATTAAACTGTTGCAGACACCACTGACGCCATAAAGCATAGGATATTACATGACCAGAACAATGCCACAGAGAAAAGGGACAGAGAGGAAAGAAGATAGTAAACACTCTCCGAACTCTCAAAGACTTCTTATGAGTTACGTCCACCTTTTTTTTGTTTAAATCCACCTACCAACATGAGCGAGTGCTGGCAACACAAAAGCTCTCCCTCCGCTGAAAGGCTTTCTTTAGGGTGCTGGCAGTTTGGAAATACTGTCTGTGATGGTTGTGAGAACTAATGCCCAGCCGAAGAGAGACCTTTTTTTAAATGTCCAGGTCAGTCTCTTGGCGATTGCCATGCTCCCTCCGTGATTTCACTGTACGTCGCTCAAGTAAAGCAACTAAATCGCTGCGTCACGTGAAACACCATGTCCTGTTTTCCATGACTGTGAAGTGATTGTGTTGTTCTGCCAGATAATATTTCATCCTTGATTTTTGACACACTTTTTACACTCTTTTGGGCATTTTATCCTCTCTATCTGCAGTGGGTTTAAAGTATAAAAATATACACAATGTTTACAAAATAAACCTGGTTCTCGCTGTACATTTTGTCTATTGGGTGAAAGTAGTGTTTTCTGTAGTCGGGACAAACTTTTTACATAAAAAAACTAAATCTGAGTCTTTGAGAGAAACAGGATCTAGGTGGGAACAGAATCCCAGACAACCTAGGAAACATTCAACAAGAAGAAAAGTCACAGATTAAACTCCCTTCTTTCCGCATGAGCTGAACCCTGAACAGGAGAGGTGAAAACGTCGAGGAGGACACTGTGGTGAAGAACATCCATCTTTATAGAAAGGCGCCTTTTTTTTCCTTTTCTTTTGTAACACATTCACCGTAGTCCTCTCTGATTATCTTACAAGTTCAATAAATACGCCAAGAACTACAAGAACAGGAGAAAAAGTATTGGTTCACTCTCTAAAACTGAGTGTGCATGTCCTGTGGTTTTTCCAAGGCATTTAATATGCAGTCATACAACATGCCTGGTGTTCTGTCATCAAAGTCACAGTTGATGAAGTATGATCTGGGTCAAGTGTCCTGCCTGACCTGTCAAACAATAAATGGAAGTTGTCTCGATCAATATGCACCGTAATGTCCCAGAAATCCCATTTTAACAACTTTACACCCCGTGTAATGATGTTTTTTGGGCACAGAAAGTCCCGGGAGGCGCACGTTTTCTGCATATCAGCATGGAAAGGTCGTGATAGTGTTCTTTATCTTTGGCCAACTTCTTAGTGTGTCATGTGAGACTTTTCTTTCACAGATTCTGAGCTCGCCCTCCGCTCCTCTGCTGGCATCTCCTGGTTGCTGTCTTGTGTTTTGGTTCCTTTCTCCTCTGCCTCGTCTTCCTCATCCTCATCCTCTGGGTGAGTTTCATCCATGGCCGTCACTGACGGATTTTTCTTCCCCTCTCTGGCGCCCTCCTCCTGAGCTTTCAGCACATTGCACAGCTCCATCTCATGGATCTCCACATCGAACGGAGCGGTGGGAGGCACAAAGGGGGGTGACTTGCAGCCTGTACAGCCCTGAGAGGAACCGGAGAGAGGGAGAGAGAGAGAGAACAATTATTCCATTTCTATGTGTTGCTGCATTCATGCTTACTTAATGTACAATAACTCACACTCTGAACCCTTACAGCTCAGGGTTGAGTTGCGGTGTACTTACAGAGATGTTGATGGCTCGGGGCAGGCGTCCTGTGCGGATCCAGGGGTGCACCTGGCTCAATTCCCTCTTGTGGTCCTCTGTGAAGCGTGGCTGGTGTTTCTGCATGCTCCTGAGGGCCTCGCGGTCCTCTCGCAGCACAGTCTCCATGTCCCTGTTATATGGACACAGGGGAAAAGGGTCAATGAAAACCTGCCTTCTAGTTAGTTTGATCAACAAGTCATATGTCTACTGGAGGGCAGATGTAAGAACGACATGTTCCCACTCTGAATTAAATGTATTATTTTTATTGTATACAATCCATTGATTTAGGCCTATTTTATATTCTATATATTACTCTTTTTTGATTACAGCTTATTTTAATGTTTGACCCATCCCATTCTGAGAGAATCTATAGATATCTTAATCATTACTGAGTTGATATACATTAAATACATAGGCGATGAAAAGTTAATAGCGTTCAAATTAACAAACAAAAGTAGGTCTGACACTGAGTCTGTTTAGTCACAATAACTCTGTGTTGTATGGTCACAGTTTGCCCAGTGTCTTACCTGACAGGCAGCTGATATGTCATCATGACCTTGTCGTCAGTGTTGGCCATCAGCAGCCAGATTGGGTCCTGCAGGACGCACTTGATAAACTGCTCCTCGCCACCTTCTCCTCCGGCACTACTGCTGCCCCCTGCTGGCTGCTTGCGAGAATGATCGTTCTCTGATGAGTCGATGCTACCAAAGTACTTGCTTGTATGGCTGCCGCCTGGAAGGACAAGGAAGGGAAAGTTGAGAGTTAACTGAGAATAGACTTATAAATAGAATATGATTAGTTTAATTTTCTATCAAGGAAATGTTTCGAGATACAAGAATATATTTCAAAGTGGTCTCTCAGGGAAAATTGCCTCTTGACACTTATTATCCTGGAAGGTGTAAAGTAGGCAGAGTGACTTTTAACTAATGTCACTGTCAGGGTGACCCTCTTACATTACTACCTGAATTACTGAAAATCGACTTACTGGTGCCACTGGTGCCAGAAGAGCTGCAGCCGTTGGAGCCGGAGCCTGAACCGGAGGACCTCGTGCCTGAGGACCCTGAACCAGAGGCGGCTGAGCCGGTGCCTGAGCGCGAGTCTTCCTGTAGCAACAGATCTAGCAGGTCACTGGAGGTGGACATGGCATCTTGGTTGGACTCATTAGCTTCACCCTAACGGGGCAAAAAAAGAGAGAAAAGTTTTAAAACAAGTCGACTTCCATGAAATAAAGACCAGATTTAAATTTGTTTTCAAAGCTTAACATTCAATCTCCATGTACTTACATTCTCATTCTCCTTGGAGATATCATCAGAGCTCCCCTGATTGGCTGAGGTCTGTCCCCCGGCCGCACCGCCCTGCACAGAAGGCGTGGCTTGTTGTGATGCTCCCAGGGCCGTGGCGAAGTCTAACCGGTTGCTTGGGGATTCCTCCAACTGCAACAGGTTGAGCGGAGAGGAGCATCGGGACTGGAAGAGGGGGGACTCTGCACCCTCACGGTCAGCGGGTGTCTGACTGTAGGACTGAGGGGTGCTGCTACGAGATGGGGCGCCGGTGCCTGGAAGGGGTATGGGGTTGGCAACAACAGTGGGGACGACGGTGGGGATAGCGGCTGGGGTGGCGACGGGGTATGGGAAGTTAGGATTGTAGAAGTGTCCCGGGGTTGGGCCTGGCTGAGGTATGGGTGCTCCCATCTGGGGGAACATGTAGTTGGGCAGAACGAGGGCCATCATGGGCGGTACCATCTGGGTAGGCGGGAAACGTGATGGATCTGGGACGGCCTGGGGGAAGGGCTGTGCCATCGGTGGGAAAACGGGGTAGATGGGAAGCATACCAGGAGGAGCGAAAGGGGCGGCAGGAATGCTGGCTTGGGAGCCTACGGACGGCCAAGAGGAGGAGTTTGTTGGGGGTCCAAGAGGCATGTTGATGGGCATGTTGAGGGGCATGGGAGCTGCGCTGGTTCTGGGGTCACAGGGGCTCCCGCTCATGCCCAGAGAGCTGTGCTGGTCAGATGACTCCTGGTGTTTGAGTCTTTTACCGCCACGACCACGTCTGTGACCGTTGCTGCTTCCTGCAGCGGGGTAATCTCGAGAACAACGCACTCCTGGGAGAGAAGAGGAAACTGAATTAAGCAAAATGTAAACAGTTTTAACAATTAGTTAACCGGGACAGCTATAACAATGACTGTGTGTGTGTGTGTGTGTGTGTGTGTGTGTGTGTGTGTTAGATTGGTGGGAGATGTGTGCTGCTACCTCGTGACAGAGGGTTGGCAGCTGGGGTGTGGCAGCGCAGAGTCGAAGACGCCGTCTGATCAAAAACGCGCAGCTTGCTAAGGTCCTTGAAGCGGTCGAGGAACGCCTGCTCCTCCTGCTGAGTGTGGGCGGATAGCACCTCCTTTGTCAGACCCATCCGTCCTCCTCCACCTCCTCCTACACTTCCATTTCTCCGGCTGTCTCTCTCAGGCTGAGTGGCCTGGGGGGGAGGAGGGGGAGGAGGAAGAGGAGGAGCGGCGATGGCGAGACGAGTTAGGGTCGTTGTAGGAGGAGCAAGGGTGGGAGTTGTAGGAGCTTCCTCCATGACGATGTCTGTGATAGAGAAGAAACATGGGAGGGGTGTTAGAGCCTCAAAGTGAGACGATGCAACTTTAGAAAGAAGAAATGACACATTCTTCTTCTGAGAAATGAAAAGTTAAATTCATAAACAGTAAAGTACACTCTTGGATTTTGCTGCTACAGGTTTATGTCTGGTATGACCAGTAGCTAAATCTGGCAAAATTAAGATAGATACAGACAGGAGTAGAAAGACAGTACTGGGTTAGTTTGCTCTTCTGTGTTTAAGATACTGTTATACTACATTTTCACATTCAACATTATCCAGCAAAAGTATTTATTAGTTCATTATCACTTTAAACAGATAAAAAAATGAGGAAACTGTAGAAAATATCTTTGGGTAAAGAGAAAAAACAGAAAGGAAAAGAAGATGATGACACCGAAAAACTTAAAAGAGAAAATTTCCAGGAAAAGCCAAGATGAGAAACAAAGGCATAAATCAGATTACCTGCAATCTGCAGTTTTATCATGGGGCTACAGGTTTCTGCAAGATAATTCTTAAGACTTTTCAAGTAGTGAAAACACTTTGTGTAGTTTCTTCGCAAAATAAGCAAGAAAGGTAAAGTAAAAATAAACAGTATCAGAGTGTTACTGGCTCCAAAGAAAAAAAGATTTGTGGCATCTTGAACTTCAGCCTTAATTATGTTGAAGGCCTTTTAAATTCAATTTAAAACATGCAAGGATGTCATACTTTGTAAATTCAAAGAAACAACCGAGTGGTAGCACAAGCTACAGAGTTCAGAGAGTGTGAGTGTTGATGATTCCCACCTGACTCAGGAGGCTTCTTGTCTCCAACATGCACGATGGTGCTGCTGAAGCTACACTGGGACGTGACTGAGGCTACACTCTCTGCCTTTGTGGCCATGGTCAGGGGGGGCAGAGAAGGTGGTTCACCTACGATGCTAACTGAACCACCTGCAGAGACAACAAGTTCAACAAGTTCAGTTGCAGTAATGATTGTATACCGGCTAGACAAGCACATACAGACACACGAACAAGCATGCTTTTTGCTGATCTAGGAACTCTGTAGGCTCTCATGACACAAATCAAGGATGCTGCATAAATAAAAATCCATATTCAACAACAAGAATAAGATTTCTCTATCAGTATTTTTGTTGGTAAATACACATTGGCAAAAAAATGGAATAATGTGGGATGTTCAGAGAAACATCAATCTAATTAAATACATTATTATCTACATAATGACCTAAACCAGTTCTAAGTAATTAACAAAAAGTACCTTTGTTGTTGCCACTGGCCTCTTGCTGTTTGTCGTCATCAGATGTGGAGGTGCAGGAGGAGGAGCCGCACTTCCTTTTAACAGTGTTAGGAATGTTACAGCTGTCCAAGTACCTGTGTAGAGTCAGAGCATTGTTGGATGAGTAATGAATGAAGTAATAACCAAAGAATGGTGTGACAGACTGGCTTTAGGCTTGCAAACACACACACAAACACACACCTTATGATGCTGTCCAGACAGTTGATCTGCTGGTAGGAGTAGCCGGTAGGGGCCTCCTTCTGTACAAACGGCGCAGGGACCACAGCTTTGGGTGGTTTCGTCAGGTCGGCTATCAAACCTCTGATTGGGTCACTGGTGACCGCTCTGATGCCTGTTGGGCCTGGATGACGAATAGAGGTAAACAGGAAATTTAGATGGCTGCTGAGGTCTTTTTGACACCCTTGTTAATGACTTGTTCACAAAACCATAAATGTTTCTTTTACGTACAGTATAACTGTATTATACAGTCCTTTTATTTTACCTGTGCTGGTGTTTTTTCTGGGCAGTGGCCGATTACGGGACTCGATAAAAACCTGCTGTCCGTTCGTCTTCACCATGTGAACATCTTTGCAGATCTGCTGGAACGTCATCTGGAAAAATAACAGAATCAGACTTGTTAAACTATGCTAATGCCATTGCCCTCATGTTTAAACAGCAAGATATTTAAAGTGTGACGACTATGGAAAAAGTCTGCCTACAGACAGTTTAAAGAGTGTATGGAACATTTGCTTTGTCTGTAGATGTTTAAAACATTATCTATAGACCTAAAAGCCCCTGGTTGCTGAGACTCACCGGCTTGTGCAAAGCGACCACGGCCGCAGCCTCTTCCATGGCGGGGCCGTTGCTGTCGCTGGACGAAGCGGCACTGAGGTGCTGTTGGTGTGACCGTCGGGAGCCTCGCGAGCCGCTGGACCCGAGTGAGCTGTAGCCCTGAGAGCTGCCGCTGTGCACCGGCTGCACCAGCACGCGGTGAATCTGCTCACTCAGCTGGACGACGTCAGGCGTGGTGACCCGACTCTCGCAGCCCTGTGGCGTTGTAAACACGTCTTCGTTCAGAGGGCTCCTGGAGATGGAAGAATAATGTTAGAGCGCTGCTTAGTATTAGCTTTATATTAACAAAAGGGCCCTTCTCTCCTTTGTTAAAATTGCAGACATTTTATAAATAGCTCTCTGGCAGCATTCGTTCTTGAGTGAACAAAATAATAATCTTACGTTCTGACTTTGTGGCGCCCTACGATGAATGCCACCTTCCGACTCCAGGGATTGACAAAGGAAGACCAGCTGGTGTCGATGGTCAGATATTCCCCGTTGCGGGCGCACATCCTCAAGGGTGAATATTCAAACGGCTGCCCTGCAAACTGAAAGACTGAAGGGAGACAACAGTGCAGACGAAATGTTAATATGAGACAAGTACGACAAAAACAAATGACTCATGTAAAGAAATGAATACAGAAAAAGCCCATTTTCCATCGTTAGAGGCAGTTACAGGATGTCCAGTGATAAATAAACTCACTCTTCTCATGAATAGCCACCATCAAAGGCCTGTCTTCAGGGTGGATGTAAAGCAGGGTGGGGGTTCCCACCAAGTCCTGAGGCAGATAGCCCAACAATGGCACGGCCCTGTGAACACAACATATTTACACACTATTAGTTTTTTATTATTATTACACTAATTGTATATAGTTTGTTACTGTTCTAGAGGTAAACAGATCAATTAACAACTAAATGATGAGAGTAAATGATGAGAGCATCTGAATTAACTACAAAAATATGGCTGAAGACTATTGCCAGAAGGCAAACGCAGCAGTAAACCATAGTATCAGAGGTCAAGTAACTGACCTCTCATCAACTTCCTGGAAGAGGCAGCTGGGAGTGTGACTGGTGGTGAAGATCCTCTTGTCTGGAGGGATACGAGGAGCTGAAAGGCACAGAGGACACAGATACAACAGATTAAAAGCATGTTTTGAGGACAGACTGACTGATAAGTTCAAACAGACATTCTGTGTATATGATAACTGTTTATTTTGAGTTCTGAACGGCATCCAATTATTGGACGTCTGACATAATCCATATTCAGAGGAATATGGTATTCCAAGTCTGTCTCCTGTCTCCTTCATTTCCTCACTACACAGATCATTTCAAGTACTTTACTCATCATTACTCATTGCATAATTTAACATACACTTGAAATTATGTAAGTTAGTAATTATGTGCAGCACTGAACCAAATTATCTACATTTACAGAAAGAATCTTATCTTGATACCGAAATTTGTAAAATCTAAATTAAGATTTTAGTCAAAACAAGAGGACAAAGATGAAACATGAGGAGAATGAAACAGCGAATACAGTGAATGCAGATGCAGTAAAAATGACAAATACCCTCGTATCCAGAGTGGACCTTCTCTGCGATGAGCAGGCAGCAGGGCTGTGGCTCAGAAGCATCCGAGTCTCTGATGGTGAGTTGGTATGGCGTGAGGCGAAACGGGTGGTAGCGCATCTCGCCGCCCTGCATCCGGTCGGCACTGATCCGACAGAACATGGACTTCTCCTGAGTGCAGTCGACCGGAGGAGATGCTGGGAGGAAAGACAGTTGGAGAAAGAGTCAGTCAGGGCTTTCTTCAGTACCATCTCACACCAAACCTCCTCTTTTTTTCTAACCCATCTCCCATTTTCACTTCAACTCAACTCACCAGATCCGATGCAGGAAGCCCAGGGTGGCAGGCGGCAGGGTGCTGTGCCACTGTAGAAAGTGCTAACGTCCTGCGGAGCCAAAAGCTCAGAAAACACAGTCCCCTGGAGACACTCAGGCTTACAGCGCAGGACAGATGAGCCCTGGGGTGATACGTACACGACCTTCCCTGACAAGAATGACACGGCCATGGAGAAGGTGTCCTGAAGAAGAAAAAACAGCAGAGGAATATAATTAGACATCTGTAACCAACCTTTCAATGGGATCTTTCTTTGCGTACAGTTAGTACTCTCTGCAGTGTTTTTCCATCAGTGAGCTGTTATTGTTTCCTTGTACATCTTTCAAAATAAAAGGGACTTCATTTAGTAGCACACTGTGCAAGAAGATTTTTAACATAAAGTTTCAAAGAAATATAAGATATAAGATATGAGAGATCACTGCAAAGCTCGCAGCAAAATAAATGCAGCATCGATTCATCAGGATCAATGTGTTATGCGTTCCTCATAAATCTTTGTGGCATTTAAAGCCATGTGACCGAACCAATGTTCCTCTGCATTCAGTTACATTTTATACCCGAGGGTAAAAAGAAAATAGTAATAAAATGATAATGTCCATGGCTCAGTAACCGCAGTAATAAGATACTGGCCTGAAAAGTTTCCTCAAACACCAACTCTAGTTTGAGGTGCTTTTAATAGAAAAGGTAGAAGTGAATAACTATAAACTTACAGTGTTTTTAAGGGTGTATTCTGAGGTGATGTTGTCAAGCTCCTCAATTGTGAAGGCAGACAAGTCCAGACTGCAGCCGTGACACTCCTCTACACTCCACTGGTGATAGTACTCCTTGTTGGCTGGAAGTGACAATATAGGTAAAGTTAAAATGACATAGAGCAGTGAACATAATGTATGTGAAAAAAAAAGAACAAGCACTAAGTTATTCAAGAAAGAGTCAGGGGCTTAAAATGTATCACTAACCAGAAAACATTAGAAGAAGACAGAAAAAAACACACGCCCTCACCTCTGACTTGTTTGACACACTGAAGTGCGTATTTAAGCGCATTCAGAGTGCTGGAGTGGCCTTTTGCCTTGCGCTCAGATGGTAGGCGGAGCTTCAGCTCCTTGATGGCCTTCATAAGCTCTTTCTGGGTCTGTACCCTCGCCGACTGGTCGCTGCTGCAGCCAGAGGTGGAGGGAGGGTCGTGCTCCGAGCTGGTCGACAGCAGGCTGTAGGCCAAGGAACCGCTGGGAGGGGAGAGACTCTGGGAGTTGGAGCTGGGGAAAAGGTAATAAAGATTACAGTGAATGACCATTTTACACACAAATGAAGAGCTGTGTCTTCCTGTAGGGAAACATTCACTGTCCATAATCAACCTTCTTCTCTTACCTCTTGTTGCTCTCCGTGTTTTCCAGCATCATGCCGGAGTCCTTGCCGTTTGACGAGCTGTGGGAGCTGCGTGTGGACTGGCGCCCACGTGACCCGCTCTCCCTCTCCATGCCGCCCTCGCTTTCCCTCTCGCCAGAGTCGTTCCCGCTGGACAGTCCGTCCATATCGTCGGAGTTGTGCCCCCTTCGGTCTCCGGACGAACTTCCGGATCCCGATCCTCCGCTAGGAGATGAGGCGCCTCCAGATCTCTGCTCTTGAGTGGCGACATTGGCACCGGGCTGACCACCGCTGGTTTTCGGAGAGTTTAACCCTCCGGACACCGCTTCCTGGTCATTGTCTTTCCCATCGGCCCTTGCCACTCGCCCCCGAGTGCTGCTGCTGGGCATTGATTTAGAGTTGTCATAACTCATACTAGAGTAGGATGAGGCTGGTACAGCTTGAGGGACTCGTCAGCCAAGGTGAAAAAAGGAACAACTTTAATTTAAGTGGGACTACTATGTATACACGGGTGAATCATAGTTGTTGTTGTTTGTTAAAAGAACTAAGGAGAGAAATTCATTGTTTTTTCAGCAAAAAATGTTAAATGAAGGAGGTTTGGACTATGTGCCCTTCTCTGAGGGTTTTCAAAGAGGGCAGATTTTGGCTGAAAAAATGTCACAAATGACCAAAAAGCAACGGCTGCCTTTCCAAAAAGACAGCAATTATCTTGAGAAAAAATGTCACTCAAAGTAATGTAGACAAGAGATGATTTTCTGCTTATGAAACAGCCTTGGCATAAGGGCTCCAACAGATGGGATGAGAGATCGTGAGGGAGAGTGAGAAAAACAGCTCTTGGTAAGAGCCAAAAACAATCTCTTCACTCTGTATCTGGTCTTCTCGCCTCTTCGGAGATGTGTTGCTCTAAGTGCGAAAGGCCACCTGAGATGACAGAAAAAGAGAGAGATGGACAGAGAAAGAGAGAGAATAATATTAGCTGCAGGATTACAAAACGGTATGTCATGGTCTTCCAAGTATCTACCAAGGACTACAGCTATGGAAAGACAAAAATGGAACGCTTATCATCACTTTATCGAGTCAGCCTCCAAGGAAGACTCAAATACGGCCATGAAATGTTTTCATTGCCTCGTGCTGCAGGCTGAATGTGTCTCAGAAGTGCGTGTGGTTGTTGAGTACCCAGCTGTTAGCCCTTCACCCAGATTATCGGCAGAAAACAATCACCTCATCTTGAGAACAGACTGGTAATAATCTGCAAGTGCGTATGCATGCATCTGAATATAGAGCAGGTGAACATGAGCTAATTACTTGAGACATTAGTTAGTCGTCATTGCTAAGTCCCGTTTTACCCAGAGGACGGTCAAAACAAACAGAGAACCAGGAGGACGGGACAAAGCTCTCCATCAGAGGGTTGTTATAAATCAGGCTTTGTTTCTGAATAGTAGCTAAGTATATATATATGGCCACCACCTACGCAAGCAAAAGTCTAGTGCTATTTATTCCTTGGACAAGGGAGACACCTGATAAACCTTTAAGCCCTGGAGACGCAACCAGAAGACACAGAGCAGTGTCGTCAATCCTTCCAATTTTATGCATCTAGCTGCCCCACAACCCTCTTCACCTGCGTCCCTCAGGTGTGCAGTGGCGCTTTTGGTGCAGAATTTGTTCAGGACAGGTTTAGCTAAATTCTTGCACTGACGTTTCAGACACATCTCAGCGCTCTGTCCTGACGTAACAACCCAATATGGCTGAGTGGACAGGTTCAGAGTGGTCACCACCAGCTGGAGACTGATCAGTAGATGTGACAAGAGGATAACAGGAGCTGATGACAAATGACAAATGTTACTCATTACACAGGAATAGCGTAAAAGCAAGAGTAACAACTGGGGATAGAAAGTGGTGAACAACTGCAGGTGTTTTAGTCCAATAATTTAATGTGACGCCGCCTCAATGCACCTGAGCTGATGCCCTGCCAATCATGAAATGCTAATCAGCATTATGTTTGGTCAGATGGATGATGCACACTTGCACATGACAAGCTGTGTGTGCCGCGGCCGAACTGGGCAGGGGGAGAAGGAGCAATTATTACATGGAAATATGCAAACAGGGCGTGAGTGGGCGTTGAGGCAGGCTGGCATCGATGCATACTTCCACGAGTGATGGCCAAGACACACGGCTGCGGGTGGAGGTGGTGGCGAACTGTGCTCAGGCTACTAGAATACCTGGCCCTGCCGTCCCAGTCCACCCATTTGCTAAGTCAACTGTAGTGGGCCATTAGGTTAAGATGGTACCCTCTCCAGAATTCAGGAAACTTCCTGTACCGGTTTCTATCTAACTAACTAATCCCAGCATGCAGTGGGTGACGAGCAAGGCAAAACATGGACTGACACAACAGGCGATTTAGAGTTTCCAGTTCACCTCACATGCGTGTCTTTGGTCCGTGGGAGGAAACCCACGCAGAGACAGGGGTGAACATGTAAAGGCCACACTGCCACGCCTGAACAGGCTGGGTCAGGTTTGAGCCCATGACTGTGAGGTAACAGTGCTAGCCACTGAGCCAACATGCCTCCCACCCGCTCACATTATTCACAGGAAATGCACTCAGTGAGACCAATCTCTGATTATGCAAGATAGTGTGTATCTTAGTTCGGGGAAAGCATATGGAAAATGACTTGCTAACTATACGATGCTGCCTTGCTCTGTGGCCATCATGCAGGTTACCTTCTTGGATATGTTTTAGATACACTCAGTTTAGCATACATGTCACCTGCTAATCTGCAGCGTTGACCAATTAATACACAGATCAGTGTGATTGGAAATGGGAAGTTATTATTCCAGCGGTGTGTCATAATGTTGTTGTTGTACATTATTACACTAATAGTCCACAAACTGAATCATTCTTACACACTGTTAAAAGTAGTAGTAGTAAGTAATAAACACTGTTCCATTTTCTCAATTGTGCACTTTCACTGTTTTATATCAAAGTAAATTGAACATCTCTGGGTTTTCGACTGTTAGATGAAGATAAAGATACTACTTTTTGGCGTTCTATAGACTAATCAATTCACTGATTGATCTATAAACTAACTGCCAGTGTGATCAATAATCAAAATAACCATCAGCCTTAACAAAAAATGTTAGTATGAACCCTTTTCTGTTGGCTGGAGACCAAAGACAACCAACTGTATCTGGTTGCCGACATGCACAGAATGAACATGGAAGTTGCAGTTAGAGGTGAAATGACCAGTCAATGAATTAATTAGTTTATCAACAGATGTACAAGTTGTTTTTAATATGTCAGTTTTCTTTATCTTTTATCGTGGTAAACTGAATGATTTTGAACTGCTGGACAGACAAAACAATCTAAAGATGTCACCTTGACCTCACCATATCATAGAAGAAAACATTTAATTGATTAAAATAATAATCAGCAGATTAATCAGTAATGAAAAGATAATCAATATTTGCAGCCCTAGTTGCAGTGTAGCATGCAACTGAATGTGACAGTCCTATATTGTGTTGTAATGGTATGCATGGGAGCACAGGCCACAGCATATGTGACACACTGACAGAAAATAAGTGCTCCTTTCATTATAAATAGAGAAGCTCTGACTGCCTATTGTATTTTATTATCTATGTTACACCAACACAATCTGAACTACAAAGATCAGTGTGCTAGTCTGGCATATAAAATCAATAACAGCTACAGTACACACAGTCACACTTTCATATCACATGCGACACAATCACAAAAAAAAAGACACCATAAAGACACAGTCTGTACAAAACTACGGTCACCTGATTAAAAAAAAAAAAGAAAAGAAAAAAACTCAAGATAACATAAAACACTTCCCTACTGCAATGTGCGGATGGAGACAGCAGGAAGGTGTGGCGAGGCACCGTGCGTGAACATGTGTGAACTTCTCCGCTGACAGAAAGCGCTCCGTCACAACACCCAGCATCACGACATGTTTATATTTATTATTATAATAAAGTACAAATCAAATACCTTCCCCGGGTCTGTAGTCCGCATTATAAATACACACTGCCCGATATGTCCGGTGTATTGCATTGCAGCCCTGTGCCGCCTCTCTTTTCTGTGTACATCATGGATAGTGTACATACGGCACGTGTCCGCGGCGGTGTTTTCCGCAAGCCTTACCGCTCTCTGATTGGTCGGCTCGGCGGACCAATCAGAGAGCGCGGCATGCAGAGGCTGGGCTACCAGAGAAAGGGGGAGGGGCTGCCTCACAAAGAGCCTGCCAGTGGCTGGTCTCAGGTCCGCCTCGAGGTTTGTCTTTATAAGTACGGAGGGCGATGGTCAGATGCGCGCGCCGATTCTAGACCAGTGTCTTTTTAAGACCGGGTACTGTACATAATGTACGATACTGAGACAAAGACACACGCGCTTTGCATGTTGGTTGGGGTGGGGGGGGGGGGACAAAATAAAAAAACCTCTTCACACCACATGACTTCTTAGAGTAGTAGGAATTACATAACAACATGTTTAGCTTTTGCATTATTATAAATAAACATGTGCATACATTATAATTTGTACCTATTTTGGGATTTTTTTTTTCCTGCAGTACAATCTAAATAATTTATAGAACTGACATTTTAAACATCATTATTTAAGACTCACCTAATATAATTTAATGCATTTCCTTTTAAAAAACTAAGTTCTTAAAAAAAAAAATCCTGGTTTAAGGAGAGGATTGCTGGATGCTTGAGTACAACATGGTATAATCTCAGTTGCCACTCAGGTGACCCAGACCCAGTTACCTCAGATAATACCAAATAACATATTTACTGATTATTATTATTTATTTTAATTTTTTCCCCTTTTTAAATTGCACAAAATAGAAAAAAAGAGTACAAATACTGTACAAAAGTATAAGTACTAAATTATTAACATACTAAAAATATGAAAAGTAAAGTTTAGAATGGCCCATTTCAGAATATTTTAGTGATGCATTAATGTGTCAATCACTAGTCACTACTATGTGACTAGCTTGGGTAGGATGACTTATCCCCAGGGGATCAATAAAGTCTTTTAAAACTAAAATAATACAATCAAATAAATGATGTATTTTGTATTAGTAAGTAAGAAAAAGTAGTAAAATAAGTAACTGAACATTGTATTTAAGTATAGTACTTGAGGTAATGGACTTACTTCCTACCACTGGCTCTGAATAAGCTTTGACCCTCCCCTTAGCTCCACTGTTTCTGAACCACTATGTTCATAAACTTCCAACTGGGTTATTGTAACATACTGTAGGTTTTAAAAACTATAATAATAATGTAGAAAGCTCTGCAGCTTGGATGTTTACTCACACTGGCACGGGACCACACCACAACCAGTTCTGTCCAATAACTGGCACTTCCTGGACTTTATGTGATTTTTCAACCTCATTTCCATGTTGGTATTTCATGTATTATATCTGCCAACTTTCTCTGTATCTAGCTGTGGACTATGTGTTGGTATGTGGTATTTTATGGTCAATGGAAGTCAGTTGTTGTACCTGAGAACTGATTAAGAAATCGTTGAGGTACAGTATGTGCTGTTGGTCATAAAGGTGTATATTTAAGTCTTTTACACTGGCCCCTGTGCTCCCTTATCAGATTTCCTTGTATGGGGAAATTTCAGATGTTCTTTTGTTTTTCAGTCTCTGTCAACAAATCAATGATTTTCTCCGTCATCCGCTAAGATAAATGTACACGTACCGGCATGCTGATGTGTCCAGTCCACAGTGCATGGTGTAAGAGGGGGAGCTCCTTTTGGTGACTGTCCAGTAGTTATTATAATAATGTAATAAAAAACAAAAAACATAACCATCCCTAATTCTAACCGGTAAAACGTTTTAAAGAACCCCTTCTATCAAATAAATGGCCTATTTCTCTTTAACTAATCCCCAACAACGAGTTCATGCTTTTGAGTAATCCTTCCCTCCTCCCCCTGTTGATAACTGTGGTATGGCACAAAAAAAGATAATTATAATCAGTCTCACAATCCAGATGTACTTAACTTTAGTATCATTGGTTACATATCAAGTTTCTGGTGTGAACAACATGATCCACTGATTGAGAGGAAGCCAACTGTTCTACTCCAAGGGGAAACTTGAGAAAAACCTCCATTATACGTGATCACAGTTTAATGAAGAACGCAATCTTGGTCCACATAGCTTTGTTGAACAACGTCTGTACACCTGTAAATATAGAAACCAAATATGTAATCTAAATTAAATGAAAGTTTAAAAGTCACCACCAGATGAGACTATGGACACTTGGAATGAAAAAACCCTAAAACCAAACCTTGGATAAATCATTTTAAAATTGCAAGACAACCCTCATTTACAACATTAACTGATACTCTACCACCTCAGGCACGTTCAAGAGCCACCAGTGAGCTATTTCCTGGCAGCCTGTGGTAAAGTCGGTAGCCCTTATTGTTTTATTGTCGTCTGAAAAGTGCAAACACCCAACTATTCTCATCAAATCCCTCTTCTTCTCTGTCTTTCGTAGCCTTAGGCTTTTTGTTTTTCACCATTTTAAGGCAATTTAGTTCAGTTTATAGTGGAAACGAGATTTAGTAGAAAGCGCTGTGTGACATTTAGTGGCCGGGGGAAGGCACAAACAATGTTCTTGAAGCTAAAACAGGATAAACAATGTATTGCTGCTCTTCTGCTTCACCCATGAAGAATCCAAACCAGGCACTGCTGGTGAATCACTCTCATTTAAAAGTATCACCATAATAGAAACAATAAGCGGTTTACTTCTCCTGTCCCCGTTTATGGTGCCCACCCACAAATGAGACTTATTAAAAAAAAAAAAAAGTGGGGGGTCACATATCACTTGAGGGGAGGCAACTTTGTGCTTTCTTTGTTAATCATCTGTTTGCAACCTTGTCCAGCACATGCCTTTGTAAACTTTTTCTGGATGTTTTATGTGCAGCTGCTTTGCACACTCAGGCACTCAGCAGGGTGAGAGGGTCTGTGAGAATCTGCAGGGTTGCATCTCACAAGCTTCCAGTGTCTGTTATTAATGGCGTATTGTGCCACAATGCCTGGGACATTTACCGTGAAGCAGAAAACGTGGCACACCACACAGAGAGCCTATAGTGCTGGAAGAGGGCTGTACCATTTTCATCACAACATGTTGTAGATCACAGAGGACGGTGGTATGGATGCCAGATTGTCACTCCATGGTTGCCACTCAGTAGGTGTGAAAATACATGCATTCAAAATTGTCAACTGAGAACACACTAGCAAAAAGCCCACACAGGCATAGCTGACATGTTCTGTGTGTGTGTGTGTGTGTGTGTGTGTGTGTGTGAGAGAGACCCAGTCAACGGTGATATGACAGAGGAATGCTGGGATGCAGCCTGTCTAAGTGATGTGCAGCAGAAAAACGGGAGCACAATGTACAGAACTGAGTGGATTGCAACAGTAAGCTGTCAATCACGGGACATCGTGTCAAAGACTACACGCATGCGATTAGGTCCTACCTGCCATCATTAACACATATATTATATGCACATTAACAGGAGGAGCGTCCAGTGGAGTAAATTTAGAAGACCATAACAGTTCTACACACTTTAAACTGGTGTCATTACAATATAAATATACAATTTGCTGTCCAAAAGTTGTGTACAAAAAGAAAAACGATCTAATACCACTGATCAAACGCAGCTTGCAAAAACTAATAACAATAGTGCCACGTTTGCACAATTAATAAAATTATTTATTAGATTCACCTTTCTACACAACATGATTCATCGTTAACATGTTAACATGCATAAAGTAAATACTGCACAGGATGAACCTATCACAGCGGGAGTATTTTACTACATTGTGCAACATACACATGCATGTCCACCCCACAGGTACTAAAGTTAATTTAATTCAAGAAAAATAGGGTCTTCAAATTTGGATGACTGCCCAAAACTGTGGGAGGTTCTCTTTAATTATTTTAGTGGTGTTGACTTCTTCTACCTCTAATAATTAATACATGTTAATGAAGCGACACATAAAGGGTTAAAAGGGAGCACAAGTTGCACCTGTAAATTGTGAGATTTCTGAATAGCTTACAGCTAATAGTATGTTAGTAATGTATTATAACTATAATATAAGGCAGTTAAATAAAGGCATAAAGGGATATCTGCGGTTTGAACACTGGCGCAATGAAGTAGCATGCTAACTATTAGCCACAAAGCAACACACACGACAACAAACAAACAAAAACACGACCCGCTTACCTTTAGTAATGCTTCACGATAAAAACAACGTTGCTACTCCACGATGAGGAACGCAAAAGTGTGAGAGAAAACAAGCATAAATCCCGGCAGCGTCGACTGTCTTTGCTTCACGGACCGTATTTGCTCTCAGGACATTTCTGTTCGCCCCCCAACACTAGTGTACACGCAGGGATACACGTGCCTGTGCATGGTATGGCAAGTACTGTTGAATCGAGCCGCTGTGATTGGTCGACGGGAGGAGAAGTCCCCGCCCAGACACGCCCCGCCGCGTTCTGATTGGCCGAGAGGGGCGGGACAAGCTGCACGGGGCTCTGTAGTCACGTTGGAGAGTGACTGGTCCTGAGTTCAGTTCTAAACATACTGGAACATGGGAGTGTCCCACACTTGATGTGGCCTACTTGGTTTGACCGTAATAAGCGTGATAGCGTCGCAGTGACATTTAGTGTTGGGATATGATGTGGGATGTTGTTACAGTTCACACACGAGTGGTTTGTTTATAGAGTAGCTGTGATAGTTTTTGTTGTGTTATTTTTTTAAATATTTACTTATATAATCCAAATCAGAAATCAACCACGTTGACTAATGGTAAATCATTATTTTCTGGTCTTATTTTTTTTTTTATTATTATTATTATTATTATTATTATTAATCTGATTTGTATACAGCAGCTGATAATAGTAATCACCACCACCGTCACCAGGAGCAATAGTAATTTTATTTTATTTTTAATTTGTTATCATTTAAAGTTAATTCTTGACCTTGGAAATTGTTTTGATTAAATAAAAACAAAACAAATCAATGGATTTATTAGTTTATTGTGAGTGAACTCCATCTGCTCATGATAGCTGTGAGATATGATAGGAGCTCTATCAGTCTAGTAAGCAGACCTTACATTGATTTAATACAAAAATGAATCATTATTTACAGCTTTGTGTTTTTTTTATTTTGATTTTATATCTAACTTTGACGAACCAGTTAAGTCTGTTTGCTGCAAATGAAGCCAGCAGTGTTTGAAACCAGTCCTAGAATACGCTCATTTTGAGTTAAATAGACGAATATTGACAAGAGTTCACTAAATCTATCCTGTATTGTCGATTCATCGCTTTCACCTCTGCATAAATCCGCACAGGGCTTTTTTTTCCCTGCTGCGCGTTTGACTCGTATTTACGGCTGCGGCAAGTCCCAGGCATGCACGGTTCAACGTGCTCTCACACGGTGACGTCATTTGATCTGCTTGCCCTCTCCGAAGGCACGCGGCCGACGGGGTGGTTGCTGAGAAGCTGTAAACAGTGCAGATGTAGGGCGCATGCCAGGGTGTAAATAAACATTTCTGCTACAATGCACTATGGGAACTTACTTATTATACCAGAATGTATTTAAAAACCAAAAAAAAAAAAAAAAAAAATTTAAATTATTTTTTAAATATTTAATGTTATATTATTATACATTATTTATGTATAAACTACATTTACTGCATATGTCTGCTAGGTGGTAGTAAACAGTAGTATACAGTAAATATAAATTGGGTTTAAAATGTATCATAAATATAAATATTAGTGAAAATATACATATATTGTAAGTACATATGCATGCACATCTATATATAATATGAATACGTGGTCCTGGTGCCACTACTTGGACACCTCATTCAAAATATTCTGCACACTTCCCTGTACAAATGTTCTACTTTCTTCAACAGTCACTGGTTTAGTTGGGCTCTCTGCCATTGGTTGGTTTGCACTTGGCTTGTCTGAGCTTGTCTGCTGTAAACAGCAGTGGAGCCCTGAGACTCAAACACATGGTTTCTGTGCAGCTGCAGAAGCTGCAGAATAGTGTCAATGTATAATGTAATAAACCTTCATTATTTAATGTTTTTATATTAACATTATGTGCAAAACAAAAATAGATTCTTCATTTGATTCCACTTAAGCTTTGAAATGTCAGTGCCTTCTCTGACGATGCTCGGATTGAATAGACAGATTTACATCGCTGCTGCTTTAAAAATGTGTTTCCATCTGACTGGTTGGTTATTAATGTCAATTCCCAGCATTTCATTGGTTGAGCTGCACACAGCCATCTGGCCAATAGTGTGGGGTGAACATTTGGCACCAGCTACTGGCAGGTGCTTGTGTCCACATCTTGTTGCAGACGTTCAGGCCTGGTTTACTGCAGTCACTCTTACCACTTTTAACCTAAATAACAATGTTAGGCATTATATTTCATTATAAGGACACGTTTACATCAACATTTTTTTTATTAATGCTGCCAGCAACATATATTAGCTGTCATGTAGAAAAACCCAACCCATGTTTAAATGCATTTGAAGATTACATACATACAGGTCAGAGGAATTTAAAATCCTTTAGTGAACATGGTGACACATATCCACAATAAACTATGCACATACAAAAATGTACATACTGTGCAGCATGAGGAATGGAGATCATCAGATTCAGATTTAAGCAGTGATGTGTCCAGTAGAGGGCAGCATTGCATAAAATTGATGCCACAGGAAGAAAAACAGACATGCAGGACTGAATGAATATAATCAGCAGCACAAAAACAACTCAAACTGCAGTTAGAAAACATTCAAATTAAATTAATTGGAAGTTATCTTTACTATCCATGGCTTTCTATGGTCTAATCTCTCTATCTCTCTATCTCTATATATATCAACTTTTTTTAATTGTTTTTTTTGGGGACATTTTCCTACTGAAATGGTATTTTTTCAACTTAAACTTTTTCTTAATTGACAACATAACAATGATGATGAGAACAATTCAATTTCAAATCAGTTCAATTTTTTTTTCATAACACCAAATCCAAACAGAAGTTATCTCAGTCCACTTTTCGTATTGATCAGATGTACACTTCTCCTTATGAAATTATTTACAGATAACAATACAATTCCCACAATGAGCAACCACTTGGCGACAGTGGCGAGGAAGGACGTCATTTTAAGAGGCAGAAACCTCGAGCAGACCCCGACTCTAGGTCTGGTCTGCCTCGACCAGCTGGAATCAACAATTCTTCAAAGTTGTTCGAAGTTGAATGGAGCTAGGCAAATAGCTCTTTCTTGTTTCTCAGTAGCTGCAGATGAATTACTGGTTCGCCTGCTTGCTGTTCAGGTTGTCCATCCTGACCTCGAGACTCTTTTACTGCTGAGAAAGAAACAAACGGACATAACTGTTTTAAATCGGGAACTAGACTAGACATTATACTTTGTATGTACATCACCAAATGCCATGAGTAACACCAATCTGAAATCGTTTGGTCTGCACTGACTGTTTGTGATTTTAGGCACGAATGTCATAACAGAGGGCGTAATATAAAGAGCAGGAAAGCCTGCGTAACCTGTGTAAGTTAAATTAGGCAACATATTTAAGTTACGTCATGTATTTTAGTCACATTGACTTAAATGATGCAACTGACAACACTTTTTAAACAAAGTTTCACCGATTCACAATGTTAACCACGTTATGACTGTTTAAGGTGATGCGTGCTGTTTGGACGTATCTGCTCTCCATAGAAGAAGAACTTGCACACCAAACTGGACTTTGAGAGTGTTTCTACACACATTGAAGAGACTGCGTTGGTAAATCAGATGTTAATTGTAAAATCGGTGTATAGATTGAGACATGTTGATTTGAACGTGAAGTTTTGTTCTGTACATTTATTTTCCGAATTGCAGCAAAAACATCTGGCGTTGTAGCGGCTGCAGGAGCTGCTTTTCTGTGCCGCTTAATTTTCTTAAGGCGCGTTTCTTGACCACGAGACTCCTCAATTCTTGTCTCTCATAGGACAGCAGGTATGATGATCGCTGCTGCTGGTGATACACAGGTTTGCTGGTTGTCTCACTGAAGTCACTGCCGTTGTACGTGAGCCAACAATCTGTCACATCACCTGGTTCCTGCGGTCGGTGAGCACCATCACAGATGTATTGGCCTGAGGGCAGAGGACACATTTGTTAACGGTACATCTGAAGAGGGAGTCGATTCCAAAACCATGAGACTAATTTTCAACATGTGTGGCTGGCAAACGCAACGCAACGCAACACTTACCAGATTGAGCAGTGGAGGCCAAATGGCTGATGATGCTCACTAGCGAGTAGCGTGTCTAGAAAAAACACAGTTGCCAACAATTAACCTCACATGCAGACACATTTAATTGGACACACTTAAAAACTGATTAATTGGACAATTATTTTACAGGCTGTTTCCTGTATCTGTTTGTCTCATCTTATCTTTGCTCAAAGATCACTTTATATCCACAAATAAAGCTGCTGGAACATTATCTTTACCTGTTCTGCGATGCTGGATTCACCATCAGCTCCCTCAATAAAAGGACAGGGTAGTCCACCTTCTCCAGATTGAAGGACTCCAAATCTCTGCAGCTGCCAGATCTTTACATTGGAAAAGTCAGGAACGAGCACTGCCGGGCCGATTCCTCAGCAGTACACTAGACCGATGCCCCAGCAGGCTCTCCTGCAGCGGGGAACGGGAGCAAGAAGTAGGTTTTAGTTTCAGTCATCTCATGGATAATATCAAAGAATATTTAATCAAACTGGCATTTGTCGGAATGTGAGGATGGAGCGTTGGAGATGAAATCACACTTAACTAATTAGAGATGAGCCACTTACTTTCAGGTATTCCTGAAGACATTCGCTCCCAGAGCCTCCAGGCACCCAGTTAATATATTCGTCCTCCCTCATGGATTACCACATCGGCACAATAAAGAAACAATTCAACTCAAACCACATTTGCAACAAGGAGCTCTACACCTAAATATAAAACAGTCTGTGGCTGTGTATACATACCCCTTGCAGGTCCTGGTGTTCAACATCTGGAAGGCGATGTGAGCATTAACACGGCAGGTGTTACTGATGCCAATGTTGACTGCTGCTGCATGCAGGTCAAAGGACAGAGAGCGTATCCAGCACACACAGAAACATACAGAACAATGAGTTTCCGAAGTTGGGAATTCCATTAAAACTACTAGTTTAGCAAAGATATATGGTACAATATGGTACTATGCTGTGTTTAGTTGGTGGATGAAGCCTCCTGGACTCCAGCTTCTCCACCCTGAGACCCCTTGATGGTGTCGACACTAGTGAAGGAAAACACTGATCTTATTCTATTGTATGGTGAAACCAAGGGGGAGAACAACATACAGTAAAAGGTCAATATAACATTCAAGATTAAACTCAAACTCAACACAAAACGGTTGTCAGATGCTTTACTGGAATTAAAGTACAAATATACTAAATTCAAAATCCTATTGACTGGGGCCCTGGTAGGTCACCTGGCAGAGCTGGCTCCATGTACCAAGGTTGAGTCCTTGGTGCAGCAGAAATGGGTCTGAATTCGACTTGTGGCCCTTTGTCGCATGTCATTCCCACTCTCTCTCCATTTCCTGTCTATCTTTAGCAGTCCTATCCAATAAAGGGAAAAAGGCTCCCAAAATATATTTTAGAAAAATCTGTTTACTAAAAAAAGTATTAGCAGCTAACAGTCCCACCCATATGCCCGGCAGACCCAGTCGTGATCACGGCTCAGCTGTCAATCATGACATGAAACCCCCTTTTTTATAGCTTCAAATAACTCAATTAAAACCAAAACATATTAGAAAAATGAACACTTGAACATATATCAATGTCAAAAGATATATGCCAGAAACCATCCTTGGGAAGAAATGATTTTGTGGGTACTTTAGTTTGGCCCATGTCCCATCTGCTAACATGGAGGCAACAGCCTTTATGACATGTACTGCAGGCAGCCACCAGGGGGCGATCGAGATGTTTTGGCTACACTTCAGAGGCTGTCATTCGTCCATCTTTATATATGTGGATGGTTACAACTCTGCACAACCCTACACTGGATATATACACCGATCAGCCCCATACCAACACCGGTTCACTGCTTTTCCTTCCTTGGACCACTTTTGATAGCTACTGACCTCTGCAGTCCAGGAACACCCCTCAAGAGCTGCAGTTTTGGAGATGCTCTGACCCAGTCGTCGATCCATCACAATGTGGCCCTTGTCAAAGTCGCTCAGATCCTCACGCTGCCCATTTTTCCTGCTTCTAACACATCAACTTTAAGGACAAAATGTTCACTCACTGCCTGATATATCCCACCCACTGACAGGTGTCATGATAACCAGATAATCAGTGTTATTCACTTCAGTGCTCATAATGGAGTATATCTTTATGTGTGACTTAAAATGTAAATTGGTCAAATGTTAATCTTTTACTATAAATACAATTTGAGGCAGAATTGTGTGGACTGCCACAAATTACCTTCTTAGTTGAGTCTTATTTCAAAAATTATAAACACACAGTACAGTACATCATGGCAGCCATTTTACATCAGGTAGGAAAAAATAAATAAAACACTAATTACATATGGTAATTTTATCTTAAATGGTTATATTGTAGAAATGTTACTAGCATGAAAACATGGAATTTATATAAAAACTATTCTAAATAAAAATACACACACTTTTAGGAAAAGTCAGGTAACAGCAGTATTGCATTTTTTCATTCAACAAAGTTATTGCACATATAAATTTAAAGACAGTCAAAATGACAGTCTTGGCCGTTCTAGTGTTAAGCTGGCGTTGCTTTATTTCAACCTGGTTAGAAAGCTAATACAAATGAAACGTCTTCACATAAAACGGCATTTAAAAGAAGATGACATAATGTTACCTTTATAGTGGGACTTCTCCTCCTCCTCTTTTCTTCTCTTTCGGTACTGTGCACCCGAGGGCTTTGACGGTCGTTTCATCTCGCAAGACATATCAAAACATAACCTGTCTGTCACTTGACGTGACCTGACCTCTGTGACACCTGTCTTACCCTCTGAGGTGCGCAGCCAATGACCACACGTCACGTGACTCAGCACCACAAGTGAGAAACATGTCATTGTTTATCTGTTTCTTTATTTTGTTAATATTTATTATTTTAAAGAGAGAACAGGGAGGGCACCAATGGGCATCTAAAATTATTATTGCTTTTATTTTTATTTTTTATTTATTTTTTCCTTCGAGGGTGACTGGCGGCGCCCCTCCAGCAGATGGCGCTCTAGGCGACCGCCTATATCGCCTATGCCTAGAGCCGGCCCTGCATTTACCAGATTCAGATAATCAAGTTATCAATGTTAATGACTTGACTTTAAATCTGTAAGTATTCAAATTGATCTGAAGGTGGGTCATGTCCAAAAAGTTGTTTAAAAGTCTAAAACACGCTTTTAAAGTTAGACATTTCTTAGTTCCCATTTGGATATATATTGTTAATGTGAAAAAAAAGTGACAGACAGATTCTATTTATGATTATTAGTTAGCAGCCCAACCCTGCATTTGGGACATAAGTGGCTAACTTTACCATGGATCAGCATTTCTCTGAGTAGACCATTAATTTTTTTTTTTGATATTTTATTTTTTTCCCTCCCTTAGATTTAACAAATGGATTATTGATTATTTCATAATGAGAATTAATATTGTTGTCAGTGTGTGTGTGTGTGTGTGTGTGTGTGTGTGTGTGTGTGTGTGTGTACACAAAAGTCCGTCCATAGACAAAACATTGTACAACTATATACACCAAAAGTACAGTTGCAATGATCAAACAGTTACTAATTACAAATGATAAGGCTCAGTCTTAAACAAATGTTTGTTGACTTCTCTGAAAGGTTCGCTACAGGAAAGGCTCCCTTTGTGAAGCACAATATAGAAGACAACCTGCTGAGCAAGCTGGGTGACAACACTGCGTTGGGTCAAAAATGTGACCACACAAGCTCAGAGCCGGCCCTGATTTCCCTGGGCCCTAAGCAAAATTCTGCTAGGGAGCCCTCCAACCTGACCTGTAAGCCAAGTTAACTCTTTGTCATGGACGCACAGTCACACATGACATCCCAGTACACATAATATTTATTCAATAGAATACCTTCTATAGAATATTTTTAACATTAACATTGTAGAAAATATAACTGAATAAAAACTGAAAAGTGAGATTTGGCTCTGCTGCCAGGTGATTAGTCCAGTCCTCACAATATTATAAAATTAACTTTATCTATACAATGTGAACAATGTGTCTAAAAATATCTGCATCAGGCCCTTGAAACTGGCTCCCCCAGATTTCTTTTATACATTTTTAAATATAAAATACTATTTATACTATGGCTTGGATATCTATCAATATTGCCCAGTATGCCCAGCTAATCAACATTTAAATTCAATATTTAATCAATAGTCTTTGTCAATCCATTGCTTGCATGTGGCAGTGCAGAGCCATCACGCCCATATGTCTGAGAGATGTTAACACTGCTTTAAAGCGCAAGTTTCATTTAGTGCACGCGCATTGAACGCAGCATCTTTCCAAGCTGCGGGCTATAAACACTGCTGCCGGTTGGCATTTATCATACGTAATAAATAAATAGTTGTATTTCACTCTCACTTATGTCAGGCACAAAGTCACAGAACAGCCCTGACAGACCGAGAGCTGCACTGTCAGCTATTAGGGAGACAGACAGCGTGGAGAAAGATGCTGCAAAGTGTGGTTGTTTCTGCTTCACTTTTGAAATCTGTGCTCTCAGTTAACATGAGAGTTAATGGTTGGCACTAAAGGTGTATTCTAGTTGGACGAGTGGGACAGAGTCTAATTACCATGAATAGGGCTGAATGGGTTTGAATTGAGTTCAAAGCTTGAAGAATACATGAAAATGTATGAGTGTGTCTGCCTGCCTGTGTCTTTGCCTGTCTGCCTGTATGTCAAACTGGGTTAACAAGGTCATCTCAATCAGCTGTGTGTTGCCAAGTGCAGTTAAGGGTTGCCATGGTGATGGTGCTGCGTGAAGTAGAGATTTTAGCTCTCATGATTATGCTTCTAGCGCCTAAACCGTTACTCCCATCACCAAAATAGGGATATGTTAAGAAATAAGAGAACCTGCTGAGAACAGTGGGTGAGAGTAACTACGGGGTACATCTGTGCGTTTACTTCAGAACAAATGTTATGAGGACATGTTGGATACTGTCATTGTGTTCTTTGTTTATTTATGGCCTTGTGGCTCCACCAGGATACACTCACCCTGGATGGTCTTGTGTTTTGTGTAACCACATGTTGACAATTTTAAATACAACGTTAAAATGTTGAAAGTCTTCTCCCAGGCAATTGTGTTCAACCAATATTACAGCTCCCTAGCTCTGCCTTACCATCTTCAGGAAGTAAATACAAGTACAGCAAGATATAACACAAGCTATGAATCACAACACAAACACTGTATATGTTTAATACAGCTACTCTTCTGACAGGAAACGGTGCAGTTAATTTAGTTTGTCCATTCATGTTTTGAGTCAAGTGAAAATCAGAACAAACTGTTCTCATATTGTTCTCTGACTTACTTGGATGTGTCACATCCTATTCAGCCCACTCAATCCTATCATTATGGGAAAAGGAATCATCTCACCCAGTGATACACAGCTCCGAAAGGATATTTTAACAGCTATTAGGATAATATAATGTGCACTTTGGCTCCCTGGTATGGCTTACAAAACCCCCATACATAGACAGAACACAACAAAATGCCACAGATACTACATGTTATACCTAATAAATCCCATATTCTTGATCCAAACATGGTCTACCTCACACAATATAAACACCCCTTGTGTCCCCAATCTGTCTATATACACTCTTGATGAAAGTATGGTTGTTCTTCCTTTAAAAATATCTCGTCTTACACTTTTATGTTGTGTTTGAAACAATTCATAACCCCCTAAATTGTTCTCATATTAACAATAAAATTTTTATTTTAGTTAATTTAATTTCAGCACAGCAACTAGAGTAAAGTAAGGTTTTGTTACTTTCCATCACTTGCTCAAACCGCTTCTACCATCAGCCAACGAAGGCGGAAGTAGCAGCAAGTGTACACTCTCGCCCCTCTTCCTGTAAACGAGTACCGCTTTAAGAACAGGGCGTAAACCACTCTTTGGGAATTAGGAAATGCGCTGCTGTGTGTAACAGGTCCCTCCTCTCGTTGAGTTTGACCCATGATTTGACGACGGATGTCGGTGACCAGAGCCTCCAACGGCCGCCTGTTGTAGACATCACCGCCGGACCAACGGCTAGCAACGGTCCCGTCCATCAATGGCCGATTCACCCGCCGTTACGAGTAAGTTTACGACCTTTTCTTTTTCTTTTCTGAACCTCCTGTGTGGAAACGAAAAGGTGTCAGCACTGCACGGACACAGTCTTGAACTGTTTTTTTTTCTCTCTCTCATCTCCTCAGAAAAGTTTGCTTCCATTTTAAGAGTTTATTAAGTTATAGTGGCGCCAGGGTATTGATGCCGAGCGTCATGGAGATCTAACGTTACGTTACTAACGTTAGCGTTAAAGTTGTAAAGTTTCAGAGGGGATACTGCACACACTGTGGCGTGACAGCTACACATCAACATATTCAACCAGTGTGTGGAAAAGAAGGGAATAAAACATACTGAGCATGTATAAAAGGATAAGAGACTATAAAAGAAACGACAACCTGCATTAAAATGTCTCTGTAAACTCAGCATGGAACAGCAAACACATGAATGTCTCATTATAAAGGTGTTTAATGACATTACCACTGAACTTAACTTCTATGGTGTCTCTGATTCACTAGTATTAAGGGAGGTAAGCACATTTAAGTGAGCTGCTTTATGACCTGACAAAGTTTAAAATCTACATCTAGTGTTGTTTTTGAAGTTAAATAAGCCATTTACTCCTTTTTACAAGTCTAATAACTTATAAGAGATGTTACACTACAGACTTTATTTCACAAGCCAGAGCTTACAGTGTACTTCTCCTTTATTAAAAACTGTTATTTCTCTGTATTAAACGTGTAAAAGCCGACATAACCCAACATAACTGCCTCTCAAACCAGATTAACTTCCCACCACTGCGTTTTTCAGCGAAGCAGCCAAATCTAAAGAATATGACACTTTAAGGGCCTCACTGTTTATATTTGAGGAATAAAATTTGGTGTATTTAGTGGCTGTTGAAATATGTTATCTACTTCAAACCACATCCTCAAAATCCTGCCTAATGATATTGGAGTAGCACAAAAAATGTAAACATTAAAAATGATCTCAGACATCTGTCAATTGGAGTGCATGTTTGGATAGGGTATCTCTCAGGATGGATGTTTAACAGTACGCAGCCTTTTGAAGCCTCTAGTCAGAGCCTGTGGATATTTTGAAACACTGCTAGGGCCACTTATGTGTCAGAGAAGAGTACTGTGCGTCTCTTCTTCACTCAATCCAGCGTTCTCTCTCAGTTCCAGCCAACGCTTTTGGTTTTTCTTCATAACCTTTAAAATGTTGGGGCCTGTTTCCATTTTCCATGGAGAGTCCACAGGAGTCTGTGGCTTGCAAAAGGCCAAGGCTCTCATTCAATTAGACCAAGTCATGCAGTACGTTGGCTTGGTATTAAGAATACACTTGTGTAATATGTGTGTGGGTTAGTGTATACACACTGCAAGCGTACTGTATGTCTCAGAGAGTCTCAGCTGTTTTCGCCACTTCGTGTAGCGTGCTTCCAGTTGAGCTGGATACTCAAGCTTTTTGCAGGCTGAGGGAACTTATTGTGGTCTAGGTCAGTGGTTCTCAATCTGGGGGTCGGGACCCCCCAAGATGTCCCAAGATAAATGGGAGCGATCACAGGATGATTATAGGGTGGAGAAAGGAAACAAAAAGACATTTGTTGTTTGTGAAATGCTTCAAATGAAAGAACTCAAGGAAAACTCACGCTCACGTCTACACACACGAGTAAGACTTGCGCTGAGGGGTCACACGCACATATTGCTTCATTTTTAGGGGTCACAAGTCAAAAAGGTTGAAAACCACTTGCTCTAGGCAGAACACAAAGCAGGTATAGACGGCAGTGTTTTTAAGCTAATGCCAAACAATATTTCCCACCTCCACCAAAATGAACCTGCTGGTAGCTTTGTGCTCAATATTGCATTTAAGAGGCTTATAAATGAAGACGAGTACTTTAATGCCCTCTGGAGAGATGGTAGTTTAGGGTCGCTGTGTCCCCCCTGCCCCCCCGTCTTTTTCAGTGCTTCAACGCAGACGTATGCAAATAGTTTGACGCATGTCCAATTTGACATTTGTACACAAACTTGTTTGTAGTGCAGCAACGCGGATGTTGCTGCAAAGCACACAGGTGAGGTTGCATTGCAGGTGAAGGGTCTGGAAGTGTCCTATTACTCTAATAAAGCTACATTTTCATACACATGCCATAGTGATAATGATCCTCTGCTGCTGTATCTTCCTGATAAGGCTTCAGTTCAGTCAAATATGCAGCAATAAAGAAGTGCTATTCTTGTTTCACAGTGATTTGATGATTGACAAAGGACTAAGCATAAAAACCCAAACATCCTGGACTTCAAACTTCTCAATTTGCTGCTTTTCTTTGTTTAGCAATTTTAAAGGTGTCATCTTCTCGGAGACATTTTATAGACCAAACTTTTAATCGATTCTTTGAGGAAATAATCGGCAGATTAAACAAGAGAATAAAGAAAGTGCAATTACAACCTACATGTGACAGTCAATATAGACACCACATTGTTTGAATCTGAATTTCTGCTTCTAGTAAAAATTTGAATTTTCCGTTCACTGATCAGTATGCAGCATTGCACAACAAGTGCACGCTTGCTAATATGTAGGCCAGTATAAATGCAGACATGGCAAACATGGGGGGTGATATCTGGCATAATGTGCTGTTTGAGATCTTGTCATCTCTCACAGTGTCAGAGCTGTGTCTGTGAGGTTTCATCTCCACTTTTGAATGAGATCACTTACAGACTAAATGGATAAAGGACCAAAGGTTGAAACAACAGGACTGTCTCTGGTAATTTAAAATGAAATGTGGTTATTTTTTAGTCTCTGGGTCTTAGATTTCCTTCTTCAGCAGCACATGACTTCCTGAATATGAGGAAATGGGTAAGCCCCAGATGGTCAGAGCCTTTTAACTCATTAATATTCAGTGTTGAGCCGCAGGCCACTAATTTCCATCCTAATGTGTTGTTTTGGTCAAATAAAAACGGTTTACTGTATGTTTACTGTCATTTTCTCAATGGTGAAGGAAAATAATCTTGATTGACAGCTATGTAGCATGTTTTTACAAGTGTTCAGTAACTTTTTATTGACTAATACTCTTTGTCTTGGTGCCACCATGACAAGAACAGAAAAATTTGAGTTGTGGAGTCCCTCTGGACTTTATATTCAGTTCCTCCTGGGGTGAACAAACAGCTCGCAGGAGTAGATTCCCTCGAAAATGATGGTGCACCGTGGTGTTTGGGTCTGATTAATGAGGAAGGAGAGGTTGTTAACAAGCCAAGCAGTGGTCAATATGGAGACGTCTTAACAGTTTCCATTTCCTTTCTCCTTCCTAAGATGAGTCAATGGAGGAGAATAATGCAGTTACAGCTAGGTATGGATCAGATTACTGACTGAATGTAGCTGAGAGGGCTGTCACAGATAATAAAGTTCCCTCCTGAGTTCCCGTTTTTAAATATTCTGCTCAGACTAGGACTATTTAATGCAACATTTGTCACAAAGTGACTCACAAAGTTGTGAATGATCTGAAAATGAGACATTTAGGTGAGTAAGTTACACACAATGTGCTCCCTGGTGTCGGGAGATCTTCTGCTGCTATCAGCAGAGAGGGACGTCCACATCCTCATTTCTGAGAAACTGTTACTAACACTAACCAATGATTAGTAATTGGTGCTTTCCATATTCTGTGTGTGAGTGTGAGAAGAAAAGATTTAAAGAGGATAAAGGCAAAGAATATACCAAGAACACACTGCCATACTGGCCTCAGACGGCAGTTTTTGAGGTTTTCAGGTATTTTCGTTCACAAATCATTCTCCCACAAGGGTTTTTGCAGATATTGATTTTACATCATCTCGCGAAAGAGGCAGCAGATACGTCGATAACGTTCAGGCAGACAGAAGTTCTAACTGCGTAAATCCTCATAAAACTGCAGGAAATTAAACTAGCAGGACAGTAATGCGGGCCTTTTTAGCCTGCACTCAGCTGCAAAGGATGTTTCAAATTAAGGATTTGTCACTGTAAACAGGAGCACTTTTGCGGATGCTTTTGGGAATACCTTTTATCAGTGGTGTCGGTGGGTTTGGTGGGGAACCACTCATGTTTTGGAAGTCCTGGTCAGTTCTTGTCCTGCTACAACCCTCAGTACAGTGTATGTTTTCCTTGTAGCTAGGGGCAGCTTGACTCAGTGAGTATTTGTTGGGCAAAATTACATTAATTCGTCATGGAATATATATATTGTTTTAAATGTTAGGTGTTCAAATTTGAGAAATGTGGGCTGGCACCGGCACAAACCCTACACTAGGTCACACACATATGCTTACACACACAAAATCAACCCTTTAGGGAGGGCAGTGTTGCCAACTTGACGACTTTCTTAGTAGATTTAGCAACTTTTCAGACCCTCTTAGTGACTTTTCTACAAATTTAACAACTTATTCAGACCATCAGGGCAAGAAATATAATAAAATATATTATACTGTTATCGCAGTCTGCGGCTCTTATGCCAGCAGCCCCGGGGTCTCTCCCTCTCCTCTTGTGCCGTGTTGCAGGCATTCAATAGGCGTGGCGTGAGGGAAAAGTTTGACCTTCTCTTTCTCTTTTTCTCTCCTGATCCATGGTTTAGGGCGCTCATTTAGCTTATATGTAAATAGTTTGTTTGTAGGTTTTAAATATTTGAACAGTTCATTCAAATATTTTGGTGTCGGTCCCTTTGTAGATTGTTTTTACTTCAAAAATACAAGATTTTCCTGCAGTGAATTTCTGACTATTTGGCTGAATAATAATGATAGTAGTGTTCAAAGTGTTTGTATGTACATTTCCATCAATGTATACCAATCAGAAACCGGTTTGTTTTTGCAATGCAGTTCACAGTGATGCATTTATTGATCAAAAAGTTGGAAATGAACAAGAAACAGTAACTCCGTTACTCTTGATTGTGGCCAAACACCTCGGGTAATTCCATTTTTTTTATTGAGATTTAAGTGCAGGGAACAAATAGTAGAACTTCTATGCGAGTTACTGAAACAAGGTTATTATATTATATTCATTATGTTGAATTTACCACAATGGCGGTTAAGTCTGGGACAGTGGAAAGTAGAATTCGAGGAAGTTGCGGGAGGGGAAAAAAAGAGCCCTAGACATATTTCCTCCTAAAGCCGAAATAAACAGTTGCTTTTCCTCTCCAGATCATTTTTAGTGGATCTTTACATCTAGGCCTGATCATGGCGTCAATATGATTCCTGAAGTCAACCTTCTCAAAGAGAGCAGAGTGTTGTCTTAACAGCAGCAGGATTAGAAGAAATTATATAACACTATAAAACTGACTGAAATGGGGTTATATCTGATCAGATAATGTGGATCCGAGATGATTAGTTGATAGGAATAAATGTAATTGCAAATGATTTTGAGAATAAGATTGTCAAACATTCTTGGTTCCTGCTTTTCAAAATCCAATTTTGTTTGGTTTTATATTGTATAGTGAATAATTGTAGGTTTTCGATTATAATGCTTTACACCTTTTTATTGATTTTACTCTCTCTACACCTAACAACAATTTCCTACAGGATAAATACATTTCTATCTAAAACAAATAATCGTTAGTTGCAGCCTTAGATTTAATTTAGATTTTTGTTTCTTGTTTCGGTCTGTACCGAGATGTATTTATTTATATCAATACAAAATTATAGAACGAAGAATCTTTTCTAAGCCTACCAAAGCCCAAAAGTTATATAATAAGGAAACCTAATATCCCAATTATACAGCATCCTGGTATGACTGTGCACCTGTGATATATCTCAGATATCAGTATTTTTTGGCTGTCCCTCTGAGGACTTTCATCATGGCACCAGCTGTGGATGCGAAGAAGGGGTGGGTAATAATATCGATTCATCAATGCATTGCATTATATTTTTTCCCAATTCAATATCGATTCATTAAATCCTCTGAATCGATTCAAGCCCCTGGCCAGTGGGGGCGTGGTGAGCAACACCTTTGTGTGATTTGCGTTGTACGGACGAAGGCCGCACTTGACCACACAACAACAACATAGCAACAGAAGCAGGTAGCAGCAGTGTTAAACCAGCGCCTTCAACTTTAAAAGCAGACGTTTGGAGTCATTTTGGATTCCAGTGTAAACCCGGAACACAGGAAATAGACAAAAGTAAGGTAGTGTGTAAGCTGTGCCAGGCAGTACTAAAATTTATCAATTAAGCCAACACCATGCAGAAGCTCTGCAGCAACCCGCGGCTAAACCTGTGGATCCAAAACAGACGCAACTCGGATGTCGCCGTCCCGAAGCTGTACACAGAGGTAAAGACAGCGGTTTTGGAGTCTGTTGAAGTCGGCAATTATTTTAAAATTATCAACAGGTACTACTTAAATCAATATCGAATCGAGTTGTGACCTAAAGAATCATAATCAAATCGAATCTTGAGGTTTTTAACAATACCCAGCCCTATTGCTAAGAGATTTATGACTCAAGTCTAAATCCTCCTGAAGGACTCTATTCAGCCCATTTGCCAGTCTCTCTCTGGTCTTTTTCACTGATTTTAATATAATCCTCTAATTGGCCCATGGTTGCTTATGAGTGTTTTGGAGAGGCATGGGACCATGCCAGGACTGCCTACTAATGTGTGGTTGATATAAACACACAGACAGACAAACAGTTGGTCACAGGACGGTCAGTGAGCAGACAATGGTCTTTATCAGTGTGTTCAGTCGGATGCATCAGGGAACTGGGACAATGGGAGAGCACAAATTCCTGTATGCATCAGGAGGCATATGGTTAGGTATCCCGATACACGCCTGTACTCATACATCAGGGGGACATTTAATAGTGGCTTGAAAATGTGATTTGATTGAGATTCTATTCATACTGTGATCTACCCTTCCTGTCTGTCTGTGTGTGTCTCTCACATACACACAAGCACACACAATGATGCGAACAGGAAACCAGACAAAAGCCCTCTTGTGTCGAGCTGGAATGCCTCACGTGGTGCGCCAACAGCAGGAGCAATGGGAGCTTTCGCCTATAGCTGACCACAGGTCATGGTCTGCCCTTTGACCTTTTGACCTGATCACCTTCAAGATGTTGTGTCCAAAATGGAAAATGTAACAATGATCAGTCACGTAAATGCGCAGTCTGCAACGAATTTAGAGGCTGAAATTCTTTTTGAAAAGTTTTTGATAACTGATTAATTGTTTGGTTACAGCTTCTCAAAAGTGAGGATTTTCAGTGTTTCTTTGTCATATATGAATATATAAAACTGAAAGTCTTTGGGTTTTGGGCTGTTATGAGCAATATGAAGACGTCACTTTGGTCTCAGGGAAGATGTGATTGCCATTTTTGCTATTTCTTTACATACCATGGAGGAAAATAATAGTTAGTGTCAGCAATAAAACATTGCTTTAAGCTGTTTGAAATGAAAACACAGTATGTCTTGCTTGTGAGCTGCTGCGGGCACCCTTCCCAAGAGCCTTGTGGCACCCTGATGGGTCTAAAGTCCGGTGTGTAGGTGGGTGGGCAGATGGTAGTGGGAGTGGGAAGCTCGAGTGGTAAAGTTTATGGTCTTTTTGTTCTTTTTGCTGCAGTCAGTTACTGTGAAAAACAAGATATCACCAACCCTGATATCTGTGTGACCATAAATGTAAATTTCACATCATCCTTGGCCGACAAGGAGCTAATAACATAAGAAGAACATTGAACATCATAACATGTGCCAAGAAAAAGAAGCAAAACTCTATGCTTATTAGTTTTGATGCTCAGAAAACTTTTGACACAGTGGATTGGCAGTTTTATATAAAACGCTGGCTGTTATGGGGTTCCACATTTGTAGACTGGATAAGAGTCATATATACAAACACAAAATCACGTGTTAGAGTGAACGGATGCTGTTCAGATTTTTTTAACTTGAGAGGGGGGTTCGACAGGGTGACTGCCTCAGCCCTTTGCTTTTTGCTATAAATATAGAACCTCTAGCTGCATTAATCCGACAGAATGATATTATTTAAGGCATAAAAGATAGAACACAAAATTTCTGTCTATGCAGATGACATATTGACATATATTAGTGATCCAGTTACCTCTGTCCCAGCATTAATGAGAAAGTTAAAGGAATATCGAGAGCTCTCAGGCTATAAAATTAATCAATCAAAGTCAGAGGCAATGATGCTGATGGGGCACTGGCCTGCACAATTAACAGGCAGTATTAAATTCCACTGGTCTAAACAAGGGTTTAGATACTTGGGTATTATCATAACACCTGACGCATCACAGCTGCAAGGCCAACTATGGCAAACTGATGGGCGAAATAAAAAATGACCTTACAAGATGGGAAGTTCTCCCCTTATCCCTAATAGGACGAGTGGAAACGATACGAATGAACATATTACCAAGGCTGATCTTTGTGTTCCAATCTCTACCCATAGAGGTCCCCACCTCCACATTCAAAAAAATCAATAATCTAAATTTATGGAAAAACAAAAGACCCAGAATAAGATTGAAAAGATATTATGTTATGCACAAAAGAAAATGGAGGCCTTGATTTACCTAACCTGAAAAAATATTATTGGGCAGCTCAGCTTAGATCATTGGTTGCATGGATATTTCAAGACGACGATACTATATGGGTTAGGATGGAGCAAAATGACTGCCTAAACTTGCCCCTAGACAGCCCCCCCTGGGAGCGGAATGCCTTAGTTATGTTGGACCAATTATTTGACGGAGGAGTCCTGATGTCCTATGAGCAGCTCAGACAAATACAACCTTCCAGCCCATGGTTTTTTTAAATCTCTCCAACTGAGACAGTATTTACAGAAACACAGAATCGGACAAACTATGCACTTTACCCTCTAATATAGAACATTTCTTTATTTTATTATTTAAAGGGACTATTAAGGTTAAGGTTAAGGTTATATCACACATATATAAGACACTACAAGAAGAACTAACAGATAACAGTTTAGATTTGAAAGAAAAATGGGAACTGGAAATGAACACCATAATTCCAGATAACAACTGGGAATTGTCATGCAGGGAGGGTCACAAAATTACAAATAGCCCTATCTGGAAGGAATTTGCATGGAAAACTAAGATTAAGTTTTTCAGGACTACTGTTGTCACATCAAGATTTGTGGACACCTCAAATCAGTGCTGGAGGGGCTGTGGCCTGGTGGGAGACCACACACATGTATTCTGGGATTGTCCGAAACTGTTAAGATACTGGCTAAACATACAAAATGAAATAAAAAATGTTTTTAAATGTTGATCTTCCCTTAGAACCATCTTGTTTTGTGTTAGGAATATTGCCAGAAGATCTAGAAAACAATAATCAGAGTATTGCTGAGAGTCCTTCTTCTAATTGCTAAGAAAATGATTACAATCTCCTGGCTGAGGCCGCAGCCCCCCACAGTAGCACAATGGAGAGAGAAAGTTAAGGATGTTTACTACATGGAAAATATAACCGCAAGGTTACACTTGAAAACGGATGTATTCCTGAATAAATGGTCCCCAATTATCTCATATTTTATTGATCGATATGATTTTTGATGTGACTGCTGTGGGTTTTTCTTCCCCCTGCCATTCGATTATGAATAAGGAATGTTTGTATACTGTATGTTCATCCTCTCACTCAGTGAATGAATATCACTGCCCACTTTCAAATATGGACTCTGGACATTGTTAGGATGTCAAAACCCATGGACTACCTCTACCCCATTTACACCTGTGTTATATCCTTGAACGTGTGAATGTATATGACTGCACCTGATAAAGGGAAATAAAAAGAAGTAAAAAAAATAAATAAAAAATTCACATAAGGTGCGGCAATGTTACACTTACTGGCCTATAGCGCATTTTAGTTACAGAATCATAATGAAAGAGAAATCACTGACTGCCCCCCGACACTACAACAGTTTTCAGGACACTTGTCTGTTCTGAACTTGCCTTTTCACTCTTTCTGCGTCTACTTCTTAAACCAAATGAGTCCTCAAAGCTGTAAAAGGGGGGACAGCTTGCACCGGATGGAGCAGTTAGAGGGCAGAGACAGCAGCAGACTCGATTGATCCAAGAAGGGAACATGAAAGCTCCGTCATGTTGCAGCTGATAGCATTTAAATCCCCTCAGCTGCTCAGCCAAGGGCCTCAGACTTACTGTGGATATCAGGTTGCCATCATTGGCATTGTAATGACAGTCCATAGCTCTGTTTTTCTGTGTCCCGTTGCAACAACATTTAAAATAATGGCTGTGTTTTATCCCTGTTTCTTGCTTCCCGTCATCCAGTAAATCAGACTACAGAGACTGGAAAAGGTGCAGGTGGAGCAGCGGGGGGAACCCCAGACTACACCGCTTTCGTCCTGGTTCCCGTTTTCTTCCTTCTGGGCCTGTTGGGGGTGGTGATCTGCCACGTGTTGAAGAGAAAGGGCTATCGGTGCACCACTGAGGCCCAGGATGGCGAGGAGTGCGAGGAAGAAGACAAGGATCTTGAGCAGGGCGGAGGTAAGGGAATCTGAATAAAAGAGGGAGGGAGTTGAGGCAACTTTAAATACTCTAAGGTGTTGAAAAGAATCTGTCATTGTCTGACACAGAGCGTCTGACAACGTGGTGACTTGGCTTTATGTGTTTATTGCATCTATGTGCTCATTGTTTGAAGTCATCCATCATCTATATATAGCACACACCCAAGGTTATTGCTCAACCAGGCTTATATTAATCTACGATGCAGAAGAGATTATGGAGGATAAGGAAGCCAACTGAAAATTGTTTGACAGAAAAAAAGCTATAAATTGGTAGTGTCACGGTTCCCACAGGTCCTTGAAATCCTTGGAAGGCCTTTGTGAAAAGACATAAAAAGACATGAATCATTGAAAGTGCTTGAATGTTTACATTTTGTGCAAAAAATCTAAGTTCTTTTGATATATTTTTGGGATTATTCATTATTATATCATTATTTTTTACTCTATCCAATTGTTATCTGTGAGATTCTCTCTGCTTGTTCTCATAAAAAAAATTTGCCTTTGGTGTCTCAAACGATGCCATGTTGGGTACTTGAATTTGAGGGAATTGGGCCAAGATTAATGCATGGATGCTGTCTCGTTTTGCCCAGTTGATCGGCAGGCACTGCAAAAAGAAGTGATCAATTAAAATATCTTTCAGATCACAAAATTTAATAGCAGACCGCATAGTTGACTATGTTGAGTCAAACTGTTATCGAAGCACATTCTTATACTTCTGTAGTAGGTTTCTGATGCAGTGAGGTTTTGGTAACCACTTTTTTCAAGAGACAGATTTCAATCCTGGTTCTGGGATTGTAGGGCCAGCAAACGATCCTTGAGCAGCTACTTAATCAGAACTATTGTGTGTTTACAGTGCAGCCAGACCAGTGTTTGTTCGATAAAGAAGTCAGTCAATAATTATCACAACCACAATCTGATTCCAGACTGTATGTATAGTTTTCTACACAACAGCAGGACCCTGTAAAGTTAGCTCACTGTGACTGTTTCAACTTTAATTAGCACATATCTTTTGATCCGCTGTGAAAAAATGTAGAAAATTACCATTTTCTTTGCTGATGAATGACCACAGTCAGTTTCTTGTGGCCACCCGTATTTCACCAGATGAATGCTTTAAATGTGAAGCAGCAGCAGCAGTAGGATGTTCTCTTTGCATTAGCATTATACAGCTCTGATATGGCATTAGGACAGTGAACAGTATAGAGTGAGACTGATGCCAATGAGATCAAATTTAAAACTAAGCTTACATGCTGCCTCGTTCCTTGTGCTTCCCCTTGTGCTTCCCCTCGTGCTTGTGAAGGCAAATTGAATCCGGTGCTGCCACTAACAATGAAGACTTCTATATGGAATATCTACAGAGTAAAGATCATTGAATGGCTATTCCAGATGGCTTTGCTTTACAACAACAAGTGAACTGAAAAAATTCCAGTCAAGTTAAACATTAACTGAGGTTCAGTATCGGTCCAAACTCTTTCTGCAGTCGGTCAGACTGTGATGTTGTTGAGCTTCTTGATGGAAAATTAATGCAGAAGTGACTTTCTTTAACTCGGTTTCAAAATTAGTCACAGGTCTGCATGAGGTTTCCTATTTTCATGTCATGTGATGGTGACATTCAAGGCCAGCTATCATGCAGTAAAATCACTTGATGCTCCCACCTGCCCTCTAGTACTTACAGTCTTCTACTACATTCCTGAATCTAATGAGTTTGGTGTGTGCCAGGTACTGAAGGTGCAGACAGAAGACTTGGGTCATATGAATGTCTCCTTTCTTAGAAAAACTAGTAGCATGTTGCTCACTATTTCTGCATGCCTTAAACAATATAAAAACAGACTAAAGACCTACGTATGTCACAGCTTTTTTAAGGTATACTCAGTTATTTTATGCACCATCATTTAAGAAGTGGTTTTCAACTTGTGTGCTGTGAAATCACAAGCTCAGAAATATTATTAACGCCATATTTGAGTCATCGTGCGGTGATATTGACAGAGCTTCTACCAAGTCCCAGCCTTATCTCAGCCATAGTCCTCTATTGTCTCTGTCTTTCTAAGGAGTGGAGGCCTATAGAAACCAGGAAGACGTTTGGCATTCACTGCTCATGTTCTGACTCAACTAGGGGTGTGTTAAGTGAGGTGAAACAAAAAGAATTCTCTACACAGGTCCAGTTTAATTTCCTCGTAATGATAACTGCAGATAATGCTTAATTGCTGTGAGCATTGTTGTACCTGGTTATGAGTTTATGGCCTCTCAGAAGAATAATATATATAGTTGGTTGGTTTCCCCCCTTTCTGCATCTGGCGTGTCAGTTTTTGCATTACGTGTCATAACCACGCAGAGAAAGTAAAGAGGTGAGATTAGTGCTTTGCTCTCTCTCCTCTCTTTCTAGTATTTCTCACGTGCAGACGTGAGACCTCTGGCATCGCTGCGTTGTCTCGGGGTATATCACAGGCACGAGAAATGTTATGGGAAGAAGGAACTGTTTACACCATGCTGCCAAGATCAGCAGGAGTCTGGGCTGTTTCTCTTTCTTACTTATCTGTTATCATACAAGGGTCCTCTTGACTGTTTTTCTCTGGCGTATCACATCTCTGCTGTACCTGAGCCCTTCCAGTGAATCCTGTGTAAAGATACGTGTAAAGCTGGTTTCTCTTGTGTGCCAGCAGCACAATAGTACATTTTACCCTGCTGTTTCTCTCTCTCTCTCTCTCTCTCTCTCTCTCTCTGTCTGTCTGTCTGTCTGTCTGTCTGTCTGTCTGTCTGTCTGTCTGTCTGTCTGTCTGTCTGTCTGTCTGTCGTTGTGTGTGTGTGTGTGTGTGTGTGTGTGTGTGTGTGTGTGTGTGTGTGTGTGTGTGTGTGTGTGTGTGCCCAACCCTTTCTCTCTCATACGTCAAAACAAAAGAGTTGGGAAAAAAAAAAAAAAACAGTGCTTGTGTGTTCTGCCTCTCTCGTTCAGTCCATCCAGTCTCCTCTTGTTTCGCACTGATCGGGTTTCCTGTTTTCTTACTCTCTGCTTTTTCTCACTCACTTTTATAAGTTGGAAGCAACTCCCTGTTACATTGTGCAGATGGCCGTTCAACATAAGTTCAGTTCTGTCGATTCATTATACCACAAGGTTCCCAAGAATTGCTGAAAGAGTATTATGTTTATCAGTACTGAGAAAAAACTCAGGAAGCAATCAACAGGAAGCTTTGGAAAGTGCCTCACAGGGGTGTGTGCTGAGTTTTTCTTTTATATGGATATGCGCACATACGGATCACATGAGGGTCTCCCATTGATACAGAACATCAAATTATAACAATAATATGCAGTTTTAGTTTATTTGTATGGGGATTGGTGCTTGTAGAAGACACAATAAATGACTGATGTTGACCATTGGTAGCTGTAATAGAACCTTTTAAAGCTGCTATAATAAAAACATTTTAATTTTAGCATCTTTCAGTTCCTTGTTTGTTTTTTTTGCTTTTTTCAGTCTTCAGTGTTTCCAGCTGCAGAAAGAGAGCTGTTTTTAGGGAAAAAGCTTTAAAAAACCCAACAACTTTACGCTACGTGCCCTGCACCAAGCAGCAGTCAGACAGTTAATGAGAGGAGCATTTAGCAGCTAAAGAGCCAGATATTTCCCTCTGGAGTTAGTGGAGACTACAACAGAGATAAAATATGAGTTAATATGGACTTACATTCATCAGATGGCCAGAAACAAGAAAATACATTTAAATTGTACTCCAAATGTTCTGGGTGTGTAAATAAGCAACTGTTTGCTAACATATTTTCACCATATGAACTAAGTGTTGTGTTTATAGCTTTTTTTGCTGCCCCCAAGTGGCCAACGTGAATCCAAGTTTAAAACACTAATATTTTGACAGCCAACAACCCTGACAATATCTCCTCTCATATATCAGTATAGTTTGCCATGCTTGAATCTCATGTGTTAGGCAAAGAAAAAGCTCCACGAGTCTATGTGTGGGTTTCCATTATAGCTCATCCTTTGCATTCCTGCTCCAGTTAAACAGTAAAATCTATAGGAGCTGTGCCAAGTTGTAATTTACGATGTAAAGGGGTCCAGGCTGTTGGGGCCTGAAGAGATATTTCTAAACAGAGTTTCCTTCATGTGCTTTACTGTTGGTGTACTTGCATGATTTATGTTGAGGGTTAGCAATCACAACTTGTTTGAGGATATTATCATTTTGAATACATATTACACACCTAGTATAAGTGTTTCTGTTTGTTTCCTTATCTTTCAGACATGAATGACACCCTCAGTGACAACAACGACACGGTCGGACAGATCGTCCACTACATCATGAAGAATGAAGGTATCTGTCCAGTGTATTTAATGACAAACCGAACAAATCAGTTTCTTTTGCCACCTATATAAATATATTTCAACATATCTCACTTACTCCTTTTTAACACTGATTTCTGAACATGTGACCCTGGGCCCTTAGTAGCCCTGCCTCCATGAAGTCATTACAACTGACACTCCATTATTGTTTTGACAGCTACATTGTCACATTATCCTGGAAGGAAGTGTGTGTGTGTTAGTTTCTGTGTATTGATAGCGGTGTGTATCAGTGTGTGGGACTCAGGAATGAGGATCTTTAGAGGAAGTTAAACACCAGGACAAACTGGCTTCTGTAGAGGAATTTAAAGGAAAATTAGCAATGACTGGTTCCCACAACACAGTCACAGTTTCCCCTTGAAGTCATCGGAGTATTTTAGCTGTTAGCTAATTTCTTTATTCTTGTAAATTGAAATGATTTCCCCGAGCTGGAGCATGAAGTTTAATACACAATAAATCACAGCACTCTCCTGGTACCAATGAAGTAATTGCTTTTCTTTATTCAGCTGAGTTTCTAAGTGGCAGCAGGAGAGATAAGGATCAATGTTGGTATTGTATCAAATACAATCAACTTCATCAGTATGAATACACACTGTATTTCTCTAATAAAACTCCCACAGCAGCGGTGTTCTATTTAAATCAGGCTAACAACTGTTCATAGTGATTGTAGGCAGGTAGAAACCACTTGGATATCGCGTTGGTTCGGTGCCTATTTTAGGCCATTAGTAGTTTTACTACCATAACATATGGCAGACAGAAATCACACAGAGGCAGAGGAAGAGGCAGAAGAGTATGGAGAGGAGACAAGGTGGTGAAAGAAAAGAAAGGAGAGGGTGGCGATTATGCTGTGGAAGATTATACTGTAGTTTTCACTGTATGCCACGCCAGCTGTGTAGGACATAGGGTGTAGCACAACGTAGCTTAGTTCCAGCTTCATTTTAAGAGGTATAAGGCCACAAAATCATGGCGGTCACCCAAAGTTTCCATCCACAGTTGAGACTCGCTACATTTAGTTAAAACAAAACATGCACATATCTTTGCAGTAACACTTATATACTTATACTGAAGTAGCTGTCAACAAGTTTAATTCCTCTTTATATATAAACAGATAATGAATGACAATATAATACAATACATTTACAGCTTATCTGTGAGTATTGATCGCTAAAGCAGTCTAAACCATCATTCATATCTTATCCAGATGTCCAGCGCATGACACACAAGGGCAGCCTTTGGATGTCTTGGTGTCTGTGTTGATTTTTCTGTCCGAACTTTGTGCTGACTCATCACCGCTTTGCAAGAAAACTGTGTTTGTGGAGCTGGAGTCCGTTAGCTGTGACTCACCGGGGACATGGCGTGGTATTCTGCATTATATAAGACAGTAAATGCCTGTTTCACCGCTCCTTCCAAGACAATACTGTTGTGACCTTTCCACATTCAACCTAGAAAACTTGAGCCTTTTAATTACTGGTTACTCTACTTCCAGGTATTTTTCATGGAAACAATTGTTTCCAATAATTACCTGGAACATTATCTGTAGCTGTAAGTGTATTTCACATTCCCACCAGCAGCAGCAGCAGTTTGGGTATAAATAAACAAAGGAACTGAGTAGTCACTGTGAGTAGCAGTAGTTGTCTTTATGGCTGAGCAAAGACTGCCATCTACAGAATACTTGTTCTTATTGGATGCCCATGTACACAACAGACTTCAAAATAAAATCCACTTGGAGGATAAGTTACAAATGTTGACAAGAATATTATATCCTTCACTTGTCGGCTGTCTTTCAAATTTCTGAAAGATAAACAGGAAGATATATTTGGTGTTTGTTCATGGAATACTGTATAGTAAGTAGCCCATTAATACTGAGGAACAACGTTTTATTGTAGCTGCACGGGCAACGTCTATGCGATGTCACATTATCTACATTTGACCAGGTATCTGTAGCAATAAAATAAATAACTAAATGGGTCCAGAGATATACAGCATATTGCAAATACTTTACTTTTTAAAAAGAGGCATTTAGAGGGGGTATATTTCTTTTTTTCCTTCATAATAAAATATTTATGACTGAACAAGCAAAAATAAAACTCTAAATCAGGACTGTGTGGGTGTGGTTTGATCAGATTTGAATCAAAGTCGCCTAGCAACATAAATAACAATCCCACTGACAGTCATTAAGATTTTAAATCAAATGTTGCTGAATTCTGATTGGTGCACAGCTGTGACAGCACATTTTTCCAACTGAGCCCCGCCCACTTCAAACCAATGAAAACAGCAAGAAGAAGACTGCTGTAACTTTTGCAGAAAATTAAATAAAAACTCAAAGTTGAAACTTTTTTTAATAATATTCCTTGGATGTTAGTCTCACACCCACCCACAGTGCAACGGTCCTCAGGAGGCAGCCTTGCACAATAGATATGACCACAGCAACTGCAAGTTCATAACACTTGCTCGTAGTTCATAATAGGGACTGAAAATAACTTCGGGATATTCTCGTGAAACCCCCTGCGGTTCCTGATAATATGACAATGATACGTGGTGATAAGGAGGACAGAGGCTTGAGTCAGTCGTCCGTGCACGTTTAGATTAAATCATAACATGAAACTCCTACGTTCACCTACGTCACACACACACACACACACACACACACTTTTTCGTAAGGTTTGCACAAATTCCTGTATCTGTGCATACTGTGTGCTCATGTGGAGCCTTAGGGAAATCTGTCTCTGGGAGCAAATTATGTAAATCTATACTTGAGCTGTGGATGCTGCTGTGTCTGGAAGGAGAAGTTGGTTTCATGTAAGGTTTAAGAAAATCAACATGTCTTCATCCCCCTGTGCCAAATGGCTGACCATTATACAGACTTTAAACTTTTCAGAGTGTGTTTGCTCCAGTGAAAGTGTTTTTTTTTTTTCTGGTTTCCTCTGAGGTTGCTGTGTACAGGAATTATGTGTTCAGTGATTGCATGTGATGTGCCGTTTAATTGTGTTAAGGAGTTAATCTGTTGTAGTCATCTTTCAATAAGCGCTCTGCTTTTGAAGTCACTGGAGCGTTTCCCCTCGCTAATTCCCAACACTCCTTTTATCTCTCCCTCTCCCTGCTCCTTCCTTCTATCTCTATAAATGTGTAACCCCTCTCTCCGTCTCTCTCTTCAGCAAACTCAGACGCGCTGAAAGCCATGGTTCATGAGAACAGCATTGATTCTGACGGGTAAGTGTGCTCTCTTGTTGTTCTCCCTGTCTCAACCAGCAGATGGCACCATAAGCCTCCGTGAAAGCCTGCTGGTGACTGAAGTGAGAGTAGCCAGCCAGAGCAGGAAATGAACAGGCAAGGCAATCAGGCCACATTTCTTCTTCTGATACTTTTCCAGATTGGCAAGGTTTGATTGAGGGCGAGCAGCTGGGGACTATTCCCGAAATGCCACTGTGCCCCATATCACTGCATTGTGAGATTATTAAAGCATATTGAGCGCAGTTGTTGGCATGTTTCCTTGTTGGATTCCTCGCCAGGATACAGCAAGTGGGACTCCACTTAAAAAGGGAGTATTGGGCTAAGAAACTTTAGTTTAACTGCAGCCTGTATAAACTGTTTATCTAGCAGAAATTCCAGCCAAATTCCCGCTTCTCAAATGTAAGAATATGACGCTTCTGGCTGTTTTATAAGCCTGTAAATTAATAAGCTTGTTTTGGACAGTTTGTCGGACAAAAGAAGCAACTTGGATACAGTACTCTCTAGGAAATTTTGACTTGGACCAAAAAGATTTGAAAACATAATCAACAGATTGATAGATAATGAGAATAATTGAGTGTTCAACTAGGCACAACAGGCTTGTCAAGCTTTTGATTTCTCTATATGTGTATTGTGGTATGCATGGGGTTTCAGTAAGAGCGATATTCTGCATCAGAAGAGTTTTCCAAAACATAAAACGCGAGAGCAAAAGTGTTAGAAACTGATTTAACTGTGTGTTTGTGGGCTCTAGTGTAAAATGCAAACGTTATAGCATGCTGCTTACTAGCTACAGTGGTAACTCCCAAGGCCAATTTGTATTACATTATTTTGTTATAAGTTATGTTAAAAAAACTCCTTCATAATAGCACAACACTGTTGATGCTACTTTATCAGAGCAAACGTTAGCAGCTCTGTCCTGCTCTTTGGTTTGGATTTGGGGACGTTTACACTCCTTACAACCCCAGAAGAGGTAGTTTTACATTCGATAGCCAAACACATTGGTTAGCCCTCATCCTACGAGCCTTTTAGCCTCTAACATTAAAACTGAAACACACTTTTTGAAAATACAAACAATAGATCATCAATCTTTCCTCTGTATGTTAGCGAAGCAACCAAAAACAGAATTCTGGTTTTACATTTTTCTGCTGACTAGATAACAGATATCTCTAACCCCGATCATTGGCTAGAAATGAGAAGCTGCTTTTATCTTATCTTCCTCTCCTTTTTTGAAAATTGAATTTTGAGTAGTAGAGGAGTAACAGGCGTCGCAACAACTACTGAGCTAACAGTCAACAGTTGCTCTAGGCTGCATCTGATGGCCAGGATCCTTCACTAGTATAAACTGTGTAGGCCTTAACGTGGAGCTCAGTGAATCCTTCACATTTTGACATTCACATCGCAAATCAAAGGCTGCCTAGCTTGTCACTTTGAACCAACCCCGCATCATAAGAACAGGAGCTGGTGGAACAAGCCGAGATTAGACGTCTTCACGTTGCTTTGCCGCCGAGATAAGGGGAGAGGGAGTTAGATCGACAGATTGGAGGAGGAGATGCCTTTGACAGAAGAGGAGTGCGAGCAAATCGAGTTAGCGGAGTATGTTTTCCCCTCTCTCTCCTCCTGTCATCTTACTTGTCCCGCTACATATTGTTCTGGGAGTGAAGGAGAGAGATAAAGAGGGTAGAGATGTTCTCCTTTGTTTGGAGGAAACCGTGTGGATAAATGGTAGGAGTGTTGCCTCTGCCAAGGATTAAGTACTGAGGTATTCTGCTCAGTCACATTGGGTGTCCTGGAAAAAAAAAATCAGCAGAAATCTGCAATCGCGCACATTTCCTCGCCGTCACTTTCATGTGTCTCGCTTCTTCAGTTTCCTCTCCGAATCTATTTTTCCACATATTTCCAGACCTTGTTTCCCTTCACTTTATTTTGTTCATTTCTCTCTGTAGTACTCCCTCCCCTTTCCCTTGCTGCTACTCCTCATATCTTCCTCTCTCCCAGCCAGGTTGGGCAGTCTGCCAGTGGATCACTTAGAGATGGTGGAATGGGGGGGGGGTTCAGTGGGGGTAATTTATGGGACACTTAAGGGGCGGAGGGAGACAGACAGACAGGCAGGAAGAGAGGGAGGAAAAAGGAGAGTGGGATGGATAGTCTATAAGGAGGAGAGTGACTGTAGTGTGGCCAGGGCTCGCTATCTGCCTCTCCAGATTTGGTACTTAACTTTCCCTCGCCTCAGTGCCGCTCTCCCCTTCAGTTCTCCAACCTCCACCTCTCCATCGTCCCTCAGTCCCCCTTTTCCACAAGATGCTCGGCTCACATGAGCTGATCTCCCCTTTACCATGTCTCCCCCTCCCCCTCCTGTGGATCAAACTCATGTTTCATACCTCTGCTCGTCAGGAATCCTCGCTCTGTACATGAGAATATTACATTTGTGCATCTTTGCGCAATCCTCTCTCTTTTTCTGATGAGAGACATCAAATAGGCCTTCGCCTGTGCATGCATGTCAAGGGACAGACAGAATGATGAGTGGACATACCGTATATTATATGTTTACGTCAGTGAGAAGGAGTACTGTTTATTCCACCTTTCTGTTTGAACAATGTGAAGAGCTGCTGGTTCATAAAACATGTACACACAGTTCCTTTAAACAAAACGATGTGTGAGAGAGCAAACAGACAAATAGTCTCTGTTAACACATGTTATACAAATAGAAACACTATGTGAAAGTGGAAAGAATCAGTATGTGTCGTGACGCCCTTCGTATCAATTTGACTTCTTTATACCGGTTTGCTGTCTTATATGTAATTGATCAGGTGTCCAACACCTCACCTGATTCCTGCTCGCACTGGAAATTGCTTCCATTGTTATTATTAAATGCAATCACCATTCAGAGCGTGTCAGTTTGTTGAAGTGATGAGACATTAAAGTGTCATTTTCTACCGTGATAAAGGAAGCGCCGCAGAATTCAGTGAATGCAATTCTCGCCGTTAAATGAAAATGTTTCGCACTGAATGTAGCTCGGTTGGTAGTTTGTGAAAGGTCTCACTTCTCAATGCTGCACTTTTGATAGCTGATCTGGGAAAAGCACTACTTTTCATTTCATTTCACCTTTTGATGTTGTGCTGACCTACAAAAGACTTCTTGGTTCATTACTCTCTTTGTTGCATAACTATTGTTCAGAGGCTGATTAACATTATTTTGATTGTACTGCTAGTGAAAACAGGCTGTAGTCATTCAGCAGCTCATATCATATTAAGGAGTAATTGTGTACTGTAATATATTAATAACAATAATGTGTTGTTGCAGAAGCAAGAGGGTTTTTTAAAATGTGCATCTAAAATAAAACCCCTCCATCTCGATCACTAATGTCCGCTTTCTCCGTTTTTAGTCCCCCGCTCACCCCCACCTCTCCCGGCACCCCAACCCCTCCGATGACTCCCATATCACCGGGTGCACCGGCAGGAGCCGCCAAGCACACCTGCAACCACCTGCACACCATCGGCGGCGCGGGCGGCAACAAGAACATCTGCAGCCGCTGCAGCCAGAAGAAATGGCCGCTGATGAGGAGGCCGTCGGCTCGTAAGACGGAAAACCGGCGCAGCCAACAAGGAGAGATCACGGTTCTGGCTGTGGGCAGGTGGGCAGGTGTGTGTGAGTGTGTGTCTGAGGCAGGGACAAAAATTCGAGTTTCCTGCATCCAATATTTCTTAGAATCATCAATTTTATTTGCAGAGCTCAGTGAAAACTGTTTTCCTAGTATGATTATTAGATATTTATGCATATGAAACATAACCAACCAATCAAACATTAACTCTTAAGTATTTGTCACTGGAAAGTCCACACTTAATTACACAGGTTAGGACTGCCTTGCACTTTGACACCAAACTACTGACCTGGAAAATACACAGGTGGACATTCAGGCTGAAGCCTGGGAAAATAGATGGTGCACACAGTGTGAAGGTTCAGTAGTTAACCCAAACAGAAAAGAAACAAAAGCACACCAAACTGTAGGAGGTTCTCACAACACTGAGACAGTCACGGCAGCAGAGAAATGTCTGATATGTAACAGCTTTCTACCAGAGGTTGTTGTTTTTTCAGGAACATATTGTACAGAACGTCAACTTGTTAGTATTCCTAATTGTTTGTAGCAGCTCATAACAAATATACACAGTAAATAGGAAAAGAAACAGAACTTTGTTAATCACAAAGCAAAGAACAATTCAATCTTAGAAATCGAAAATAAGGAATTCTTTATAAACAGCTTAGTAAATAAATATAATAAATATAGTTATGTGTTGTTGTTGAGCCACAACTCAACTTTATCTCACTCTCTTTCACAGCTAAAGTTATTTTAAAAGTTCTCTCTGTCCTCCTGCCTTTGGTTGATTTTGGCATCCAGACTCAAACACGCTTCCCTGTTGCTCATCAGCTACAGTTTATTACTGCCGTGTTTATTTGGAAATGCAAACAAATATTATGTGTCGGTTCATTACCGTTGGTTACTAAAAGTAAATCAACGCCTTCCAGCCAATCAGAATCCAGAATTCTCAGTGGGGCTTTTCCTTTTGTGTGCAGATTTTATCAATGCAAATTTAGATGGATTTTAAACAAATGCTGGTGCTTCCATCATACAAAGCTTTCTTCATCAGACCGCTGTAGCAAAAATCAGTCCTTGGAAGCTTGACATTTTTATTGAAGGTACAAAAGGTTAAGTGCAGCAGCTTGGTTCCTGTGATCAACAGTGCGTGGGATGTTTTTTGACAGTCTCATAGTACTTTTTGTACTTTAAAATAAAATGTTTTTGATGGATGTTGAGATTTCTCCAGTTCTTTTATAAGAGTTTGAGGGTCACCTGATGTCACATCTTGAAACTGTATTTATTCAGTTATTCAGTATGCGCCTCTTTCTGTCAAGGCTTTATGCGGCTGCATCACAATAAAAGCCACCTTGTGTTTTGCCAGTTGAATGCTTCTAGTGTGAAGCAGCAGGAGTAGGATGTTGTGTTTGCATTAGCAGTGACTTCATTCAGCTCTGACACAGTAAACTGTGAGGCTGTTATGAATGAGATAAAACATCTCTTTCCTGTGAATCCCTTGTGCGTGGGAAGGCAATCTGATTTGGGCACAGGAATGGCGGACTCTGCCGCTAACAATGAAAACTACTGTATAGAGAGACAAATACTGAATTTAAATATAGTTAATGGCTTTTGTTGGGAAATTAGTGACAAATGGGGTTTGATTTTATGATTTCTAACTGTAAGAAAACATTTTTGTTTGTCATGTGACAGCTCCTGTGCACACAATTTATATATAAAAGTATCCAAGATGTCTAAATTAAAGACAACATTTCTCAGTCCACTAGCGAACCCATTAAAGTGTGCAGCCTTGTCCCCGTCACACAGCGAGCGCTCTCCTCATCCCTAATGTCCTGGTGCGAGCTGATTGGGATGCAGAAGGGTTTGCTTTTCATTTGCACACCCAGATGAATGGCCACGTATGCAGAGGGTCAGCATGACCTGGATACAAATATTCATTTGCTGAATTAAATTTAATTAAAGCTTTGGAGGGTGTGGGTGTGAGTGTGTGTTTGAGTGTGTGGGTGGACGAGAGAGAGGCGTGTAAAGTTTAGGTGAGTGAGAGCCACAATGAGGCAGAAGCACATGCAAGCTGCGGAACAAATGAGAATAGCTGAATTTATGATCAGCAATATGAACTGATGATATCATTCATTAAAGGACCATTTTCTTGTTTATATAAAAATAATATTTACAAAAATATATATTTACAAAAGGATGCTCAGCTAAGTTCTGGTTCATTTTGACCTAGAAAAATAATTTACACTGGGATCCTTTTTAAAAACTTTCCTCAAAGAGTTCAACAGTACATACACTGTTTCATTTTGGCCAGTGGTCCCCACATTAGAGTTTTTTTTATCATTTGGGTCCCAGGCTGCAAAAATATTCAAAACCTGTTTTTGATTTACTTTTGTCACCTCTCAGGTTCCGGGTGACAAAGTGTGAAAAACTAGCCAAGGAGAGGCGGACCCTGTTAATAACGGACTCCAATGGGAGCGTTCCTTCATCTCCTACGGAGGTGGAACCCAAGAGCCGGACCACGTCAGAGTCCCAGCAGGTCGGTATCCTGGAAACTTCTTTATCTGTGTCCCTCTTTCTCTTTGTGTCCCGCCGGGCTCTTTCCTGCTCACACTCTGTATACCTAAGTGTTGCTTATGTATGCAAAATGATTTATTTATATGCGTACTCATGTTCACAGCTCTTAGTGACATTATGCCTTTTGCATTGGTCGACAAACTAGAGAATGTTTGATTAATAGCACACTACATTTAGCACTGTTTGATATATAATGTATTAATAATAACTGTTTTAAGGCTGACTAATTACTATTTTCATTATCTGTTGATCTGATGATTATTTCTTGATTAAGCTTTCTATTGTTTGGCCCAGAAAATAATGAAAAATAGCTAATACGATATACTAAAAGCCCAATGTGACATCTTTAAATGTTGTAGTTTGTTAAATATTTATATATGTTATATATGTATAATAAGTTTACTATCACAGATATAGTACATTCACACACCTGTATAGAAAGCAGAAGTCAAGTTTGTTTCTGTACAGTTTCCTAATATCAAACACAGAGGCAATATATACTTAGAAAACAGTAAAATCTCCCCAAAGAATGTAAAACACTGAGAAAGCAGAGTCCATTGATCTAGAAAAACAATTATAAAACTAAAAAGATATTAAGAGATATGAACACTGGACAAAAACAGCTGCATATATGGACATTGTCTATCGTTCACTCAACAATTAGCCAAATACGTGTTTAAAAATTCAGGATAAAGAGGAAAAAAAACTTCCAGTAATCAGTAATCAGCCTGCAGCTCTGCTGTTTTCTGTTTACATCACAGAAACTCTGGTTTATGAAATTACAATGCTCCAGGTGATCATGAACAGCCTCCACTCGTCTCTCCTCAGTGTTTAATTTATTGTTTACAAGAGTGTGCAGAGGAGTTGTGTCTTCTTGTTGAACTGCACAGACGCCACGCAGTTTATTTCTTCTCAGATTCTTTTATGACAAAAATACTGAAATTCTACCTCAAAGGTGGAATTTGAGCTCAGTGGTGCTTGATAATCCCATTTAACATTCATGCATACAGTTTACAGTCTAATATGCAGGGATGCACCAATCAGATCGGTTTTGGGCCTGATGCTTATCTTATTAATCAGGTGTCGGCAGTTTTCTGCTCCGTAATATTGATTTACTGTAGTGGGCTAACGTGTAAAGCTCCACAATAAATTCTTTTTAATGTGAAGACAGTGGCAGGCCTTTTATTTTGAAACAAAAATGAGATCCGCAGTTGGCTAACATTACAAAATAAGTAATTTTTTTTGTCCGGAGGTTGTTTTGATCATATAGCAATTTGTTTTTAATACATGCCTTTAACCAAGCTTGATAAAGGAGAATGCATTGTGACGGCACAATTTCATAAACCTTCTTAACAATATAAACAGTATAAATATTTTACTTATGCTTAAGAAAGGTTTGTTGTTCTTAAAAATCCCGAGCAGATTCTGAAGTTGAGACTTTGGCAGAATGAGAGATCACAGCCTGAACGGATCTGTGTCGTAACCAAATTTGCTTTAGGGTGGAGAAACATTACTCGTGTTTCAACAGATGACACAAATGCAAAGAATCCATTTACAGCTTCAGAACACATTTAACATCCGTGTTTGTTTCATTTCAAACTGTTATTTCACATATTGACTTTCAGCTGTCTCATATTGACTGTGCGGGAAAGAAAAATGCCTTCCACCCAAGAGAATAAACAAACCCTGCAGCGTGGAAGAGTGATGGCAGAACACTCCTAATCTGAAGATCATTGAGTGTGCCGATTATTTTCTGTATTAAATCAAGATTATTTCCTTCCTACCAGGAACAGACGGACAACTTGAACAAAGAGAACCGATAGAAAACCAGGTAAAGTGTCACATCTTTATCAGCTATACCTGTTTTTTTTTTTTTTTTTTTACATTCTTATGTGTCTTGACAGCATTTACTCCCCCCTTGTTCTGCAGATGTCCAAAGAGAGGAGGAAAACAGCATCTGGACACTTTTTTTTAAATCCCAAACGAGAACATCATCAGCAAAAAACAGCAGTGGAGGAGCGAAGTCGACTCAGGAGTCGTGCCTCCACATTCCCGCTCCACGGGGGAGCCAAACGTGCTGCTGGTGATGAGGACGGCGGTGGCGAGAATGGCGTTTAGAGTCACACTGGCCACTTATTTTACAAGCAGAAGGGAGGTAAGGTGTGTCTGTTTATGATACAATCTATATCCTCCCCAACATAGATTTACAGTTAGTGCCTTGCTCACGGGCGTTAAAGCAGGGAAGCTGCTCGACATCAAGGAAGCCTGAGCCTTGGACGCGATCCATGATGTATGTACATATGTTTTTGTATGTCAAGGTATAGAGGAGTTTTTGCATGTTATGAGTCAGTTAATTGATAAAACTACACCCTAGAAAACAGGTACAGCCAGTCTGAGATTATATTGTAGGTTGTCATTCCCAAACAGGAAGTAGGAACAACCCTGACGTAGAGGTCACAGAGCCAGGAAGTACACGGAAGATGTGATAAGAGTAAAGCAGCAGTTATATCGTATCCTGTAGTGGTGTGAACGCGATGCCGTCAGGATGATGAGGCATCATCGTCAGGTTTATGTGTCCTGCTTTTCAAAATCAAACAATTAGCTGTAACACTCACACAGGGGCTGCTCACTCAGTGACAGCGTTATTCTGACATTAACAGCCAAAATCCTGACGCAGGTCAGTCTGCTCCTTCCAGGTCACTGCCTGGTTTCCCCTTTTTGTGATTTCCCATGAGTCAAACCGGCATTACTAAATCTTTAAACCTGCCTTAATTGTTTTTTTTTCTTGGTCACTCTTGTGGCTGCTAAACACATCCACCAAAACCCCTTTATAAGCTGATAATATGTAAATGTGTTTACAAACAGTTGCCTAGTTACACATCCGGCAGTCATTAGCAGTCATGTCGTATTTTCACTTCATTGTACGGCTCGACTCTTCTCTGCTCGCCTTTGGTACCTCTGCTTAGTTTTTTCTACTGTATATAGTACTTTGCATAGTACCCCCCTTCAACGTAGGTGGAGCTGATCGTCATAGCGACGCGGTTGGGGAAAACAAGCCGGAAACAACAGAGAGCTTTACTTTGGCGGAGAAGTTATTCACTAGAACCTACACTACCTTTACTGCCCAGACTGACACCTACACTGCACCGCTCTCATCCACTCACTACGCACACAGGAAAGAGTGTTGCTCTTATAATGGAGGATATAGAGTGACGGGATCCTCAGTCAACTAGTTAGCAAGAGTTTTGCTAACATTAGCTAACTTCAGATGTGACTATACACACACACACACACACACACACACACACACACACACACATATATATATATATATATGTCGGTTTTATCTGCTAACCATCTTCAAACTAGTACTGTCTATTCAGCAGACGAGCCGAGCACAAAGCTTCTCTAAGTACAGGAGAGGAGAGAGTTGACCGAGGCTTGCTCAACTGTTGTTGGAGCTCAGAGGTATCAGCTCAGCACTTTTGGAACCTCGACTGAAGTGGTACCATAAAAAGTACCAGGTACTGTCTATAATGGGAAACCCAAAAAGAGCGAGTCGAGCCGTACCCTGAGGTTGAGTAAGCGGCTCAATATTCCTTCTTTATGTTGTTCTGAGACTGAAAGATGTAAAACGGGAAGTGGTTGTTACAAAATGTGGGAGTTTAAAAGACATAAATGTTTGCCAGTTGAAAAGATGAACTAGTTGCATTATGGGAAATGTAGCATACAGTGTTGTATCTCGGGCCTTTTTCTGCTATGATTTCGATCACTTTTTAAAAAAATCTGTCTCACGTGAGTCCTGCAACTTCATGCGAGTGACCCTTTTAAAGACTGTTGTGAGGTCAGACATAATCATCCCAACATGTCATTTTCCCAGACCTTTGTGATGAAAACACGTCATTTTAGCCGGTATTTGTGAATGTAATGTCATTGTGCCTCGTTTAAAAACAACAAACATACCTTTTTGTTATTCATATTTTGGGGCAGTTTGATGTATTTTCATTGTTGTGTAATGAATGAAATAAAGATGACTAATAACATATCAAACCATTAAATAATTAGCTGTTGTTGTTGTCATTTAATCATTCACTGTATACTGGTTGAGACATGAGTACATTAAAGTGATAAAAGCCAGTGTCCACTGACCTGCAGGCTAACCTCTCCCTCTCCTCCCTCTCCTGAGTGAAACATCCGTCTTCATCGTCCGTTCTTTCTCATTTCCTTCCATCCTCGCTCCTTCTCTCCCTCTTTTCGCGCCATAATGAAAAGATGATTTGTCTTATTCATCTCAAGTAGGTAGTCCGACGACCTCGAGCTCTCTATCATATTATTTCCAGATAATGGAGATGAGATGGAGAGGTGTTTTGAGCCGATGCGCGAGACAGAGGATTAACAATCCTTGACTCTTTTGTCTCCTCTTGACCTTCCGAGTCTTATCGGGTTCACTCGTGCAAACGTACACCTTTTCGATAAAGGATACAAGTTTCTGACCTTAAAGACGCCGCGGAAGAGCAAAGAAAAAGAAAAGATGGAAATCAGTTAATTTAGGTTATTAGATCGCTCAATTATTAACTTGATGCCTAACTGCTCCGAACAACAGTGAGGACGTGATTAAACAAGGCCTCTGAGTGACACATGGCTGCTGCTGGTGTCACTTAACAGCGCTGAAGGGAGGATTGACTTTCAAAGTGTTGACAGGGGGGGCATTTACATTCAGTGGAAAAAAAAAAAAAACTCCGATGGCACACAAGGCAACATCACCCCACCCATGACTGTAGGCTCAAAGCAAACCTGCCTGTTACAAACACACGTACGCAGGAGGGTGGCCTCGGGGTGTTAAACCTGTCAGAAAGATGCGGTTGATGGTGTACGACATGAAGGACCTGGTGTAAATATTGACTGTATGTGTGTGTGTTTACTTTAGCTCTTACTGGGGACAAAAAAAAAAAACACTAGAGGGTGTCACCAGTTCTGTGAAAAAGGTTTCTACATTAAAGCCACTAAAAACAAAATCCATGAGGGAAATTAGATATGCACATAAAATGGTATAGATAATAATAAAGCTCTGTTCTGTCTCTTTTGCATGACTTCATAAGCAGTAAATTTATCTCAGGCACTGAATTATTCAGGCCTCCAGGCGAAAGAGTTCCCATACCGATGCCAGGCTAAGTGCCCTACATCTTATCTTTGTCTCTGGCTATCAGCCAAGAGGATGGAGCTCTCTGGTTCAGGGGGGGGGGAGAAAGAATTTTTTTTTTTTCTTTTTTTAGGGAAACATTTGGGACCAGAGGGAGAAAGTCTAGTCAATGTTTAACACCTTTGAACCACATCAGGGCGGTAAACGCGGTGACCTTCTGAAATGGCTCACTGCCCACCTTCCTTTATTCAAACAGCGTGATTCCAGAGGACAGTGAGGGAGGCAGTGACTGGAAAACGACACTATCTTAACCAGAGTTAAAGCCGCACATACTCACTTCTGGAAGTAGAAACAGGGACATTCGTTCTCTCATAAATGAGCCTCACTTGGGTCTGGTATGAGCATTTGTTTACAGCTAACGTCACGTTAAACTAACATTCGTGAGATATTGTTCCGACTTCATATTACCGCTGAGTTAATTTATGTCAGTGTCACTAGACAGCAAAGGTTACACTACAACAAATCGAATTCACTTTCCAGTTAAGGAATTAAATATTTAACCAGAGTGAAACATTTCTAGGGATCTCGGGTGAACACTGGGAGGACTATTTTGGGTTCTTTAAAAGGTGAACGATACCATTTCATGTCAACGCTGATTAATGCGTTCTCAGGACAATAAAAGGTCAAATCAACAAACATTAAAAGGCAAGCCGGTGGCTGACCCTGCAAACAGGAGGACACCAGGAAATAAAATCCCAGTTTGACTGACGGCGTTGTGATATGTGTTTTCATACAAATTTATACACAAGTTAACCCAGAATGTATCAAATAATCCTGTTTTATATTTGATATTTCCCCCTTTAAATACAGTCCTCCCCGTTCCTCCGAGACGAGGAAGTGTGCTACAATTATGGGTGACATCATTAACGCCAACAAAGCCTTGAGAAAAACAAACATGTTAAGCGAGCGCACACACCTCGGGGACCGTACAGCCAGCTGCCTAATGGACCTAATAAAGATGGCATGAAGGAATCTGACACACAAACGTTCTTTATTTGCCTGCACACACTCAACGCGCAGCAGGTTGCGGCGCAAATGAGCTTGTTGCAAAAGTACTTTTGTGCTGTTATCTCGAGGTGAGGTGAGGTGAGGTGAATTGATTACCGTCAGTCACTGGGATGACGGCATCAGTAAAGAGTAACAGCGGAGGATAACGAGAGGTCACTTATTTCATGGAAAACAACGTGGTCGGTAGGAAAGGTGAACTCCATTTCCTGCCTTCATTCAGGGAGGGATGTCAGTCTCTCACACAACTGAATATCCACATATCTGTCTGAAACTCCTCCAGGGTGGAAACATGTATTTATATGACTACAAATATCTCTGTATACTTCTGTATTATTTGACCTATTTTCCTTTTATACAAATTTAATTATCTTTTTGTATGCGTGTTACATGAAGAGACCTTGTGTTGTATAATAATAAATGTCCTTAAACCTTGAAACTATGTTTTTGTTATTTTCATGCGTTCAAATAAGTTGAACGATTCAAAGACACATCTGGTAATGTTGTATATTATATTTACTGTCAAAATATCCCCAATAAACAATGAATGTATCGTGCTTACAAGTAGACCTCATCGGGGAAAATGTCTGACAAAAGGAACTCTTTGAATTTAACATTGATATCAAATGTGCTTTTTCATGCATGCACACATTTAAATTGCAGTTGTAAATGTAGTTGTAGTTTCCGAGGTACATCACAGGTATTTACAGTATTTACATTTTTTTAATTGGTGCAGTCATTTCCTTTAACAGCCGGTCACTGTAGGTTTCAGCAAATGTTACTCAAACAGGAGGAAATAGTTCATTTCAGGGGACTATTTTCAACTATATGGAAGAAAAGTAAGACTGTGTGGGATTGAGACAAAGTAAACTACAACTGATGTGTTCATAATGAAGTAACACGGCACAAGTGAGGCTCTGGATGCTTTGATGTAATCCAGGTATTCAATCAAAAAGCCTAAGGTGTCAGTCTCTAGACGTCGATCAGGATAATGACATCGAATTGAGCACACCTGTCCTTTGGTTATGCAAGTGTACATGGGAATTGTAGTTTGTAATTGTTGTTGCCGGGTTTAAATTCACAGGAGGCTCCACGTATCCGTCCCAGAAACTGAGGATGACAACTTCTGATTTGTATTTTTATTATTCTGATGTATTGACTGCTTTTTTATTGATGTAATTTTAGTTTTATGCCTCAGAGAACTGTCGTTGTAAACTACATTTCCCACGAGTAAAGCACAGGTGGGATCTATCTGAGGTCGTTATAAGTTCTGAGAGGCTCCTTTGTGAAACATTTGCCCTGATGAAGCTGTGCAGACTGAAAGTGTGGCTTTTAGATGGACCAAAGATTTAATGTTTTTGTTGCACCTCAGAAAAATGTGTGTTAATCCACAGGTGAAAATAATCCCAACAAAAGACACTTTACTTTCTGTTTGTGTAACATTTAGTCAAAATTGAAATACACAGTTCTTCTCTAGTACACTGTACTTTAATCATGTAGTTATGAAGCAACATTTGGTGGTATCTTTTAGGGGTATCTTGAAAGTAGGGAAATATATTGAAATACAATTTTTTAGACTCTTAAATGATCATAAACTTTCAGATATCTTACCAGATAAGAGCTCATAGATACTTGAACAAAAAAGACATTGTTTTTCTCCAAGGAGGCCAACATAGATCTAGAGTAAGATACATACAGCGGCATCATTAGTCGTGATTTAAATGCTTTCAAATAAAATACCACTTTTCAAACCCCTACGGGCACATACAACTCATAAAGTCAAAAAGCCAAAAATGCATTGAAATCCTGCTCAAACAAACATATCTCACTTTTTAACATTTTGGGAGATTTTCAGCTGACAATAGATCATATTCTCACAAACAAACAGCATGCACAACTTATTGAGCTGAAAACAGGGACTCTTATTTTGAATTTGTTGCAAACCAACATGGAACTGCAGTTGAACTTCATAGCTTTTCTATCAGTGCCTAAATAAAGCCCCCGCTGCTATCCATCTATCATCTACCTTTCTGTATATCCTTGAACTGATTGAAAGGATCAAAGTAATCTGGTGACGCACAAGCCGAGCTCAGCTCTGTTGTTTTCGCTGCGAAACGGCGCATTGATGAAAAGATGAGTCACTGGTTTGATTAAGCAGGAACTCAGCAGATCCTGTTGTCATCACGCTCTACGGATATATGGAAATGTTCTTTTCTCATTTCACGAGACAATCACACACTCACAATCACACACACACACTGGTGCAGGTGTGTCTTAACTCTGCAAACAAACATAAGGTGTGCATTCAGAACTTCATATAGAAAAAGCTCATTTTTAGTGTTCGACCTGTTTTTTTTTTTTTTTAGTAGAAACCGGCATTATAATTATTGCTTGAAATTATTATTTTAAAAAAATCTTGAAACTTCCACTGACAGATCTGACTGAAGCCCTATTGTAGATGAAAGTACTTGTTAAATCCGACATGTTTTCAATGTGGTTTTGCTCTTTCGGCGCCGAAGAACGAGCTTGTTTGTTCTCCAGCTTGTGATTTCCCCTGCTGACTAAACAACCACCCGCTGTATCCACAAGTTATCTTGTCCATCATGGAGGGGAAAATAAAAAACCAAAATACAACGGCACCCTTGAGAGAGACACATACCTTCTTGTTAACTGTTAACTGAGTCATTTTGGATCAAAGCTTTGGCTAAACTGTCCATGTATTCTCGCACATGGGCCTCACTGCGGCCTTGAGGCTGGTAGTCTAACCTCCATTGTTTGACATCATGTTGTATGTGACAGCTCCGGTTTCATGTAGTATCGCTGTGACATTTGAAACTGAACACTGCAGTACATGTGAGG